TAGCCTAGCTAGCCTAGACAGCACCGTTTCAACTACAGGTGGCGGCGACACAGACGAGGACGTCAAAGCACACAGGATCGGAAAGACAGCAAGACAGGCGTTCATTAACCTGAAACCAGTGTGGAGATCTACTGCACTCAGCAAAAAGCGTGAACAAGATCCGGATTTTCAACCATAATGTCAGTCAAGTCACTGCTTCTAGGTGATGGTTCAGAGGCTTGGCGCGTCACGAAAGGAATTTCCAACAAACTACGGACATTCATCAACAGCTGCCGTCTACGCTCACTCGGTACTGAAGGTGGAGATCAGATGGATTGCCAGAATAATAAGAATAAGCAACAAGGAACTCACCGTAGCTGGTAGCGAACCAACCAAGAACCTATCGCTCCACAAATATGCAGAAGAAAGTGGAGATGGATTTGACTGGGCATACACTGAAGAAACCATTCGAGGACATCACGTGCCAAGACCTCGAGTGGAACCCGCATGGGGAACGACGAGTATGGCGTCCGAGGCGAGGGTGACATGGGGGAGATCATGTGAGGAATAAATGAAAACTTCTGGGCAGTCGTGCAGCCAGGTTGTAAAGACTGCAGAGAAGAGAGGGGAATGGAGATGTGCTACTGAAGCTGTATGTTCCACCAGTAACCCAAGGGACAAATAATAAAATAATCATCCTCTCTGACTGGTCTCAATCACTGATTGTCCTAGTCCCCAAGACAGCTGGGAAGTCCTCTTGTGATAAGCACTAAAAGAATCAGCCTGACGAACATACTAAGATTTTGGGTTCTGTTATCGTTAGACGTCCAAGTGGAGCTCACGAACAGCAATCCCAAGGAGACCAGACAGGCTTCAAACCTGGTTGTGGATGTATCGATCAGACACTCACACCCCACCAAGTTCTGAATTTGTCTTCAGTGGTGCGCTGCCCAACAACAGGGAGTGAAGTGGTTGAACACTTCACTTAACTAGGAAGTCTCACCAGCCTTAGTGGGTCAGTGGCCACAAAATCTCTGCATAGATAGAAAAGGCTCGATTAGCCTTCGCCAACTTACGCCATCTATAGCACCACCGTGATATACGATCTCCCACTAAAGGTCAAGTATAATACACTGCGGTTCTACTGCATGCTTGCAAAACATCGCTATTAAAGGTAGAGGACATGAGAAGGCTTCAGGTGTTTGACCACTGTTACCTTCATAGCATGGACCGTCTGTCATGGTGTCACCATGTCAGTACTGCAGAGATCTGCTGTGGAGTTTTTTTTACGGGAGATGCAGTTGTGAACCTTCATCAACTGAGATGGCTGGAACATGTGTTGACCACGCCTAGTCACCACCGACATCGTCGAACAATGTGTCCGCTGAAGTAGATTGGTTTAAATGGGAAGAAAGTTAAGGGCGGTCAGACTAAAACATGGCATCACTGCATGATGTTTTTGACTGTTAATATGAGCCTTTTAGGAGAATTTAGACTGTATGGTCAAGGTCCACGTGATAAAAGAAACCAGTGGTTGGGGACTCTAGGTGATATGGCTCAGGATCGATCTGTGGCGCAGATGTGTTCACACATTATCTTGATCTCAGTCGTCATACTGAATTCATTATTCGCCCATTCTTTCTTGCCTCCTTTGGGATGATATTCTATCACTTTCGACTGCTTTCTTCTCTACTACTTTATCTTTCATCTTAATGCATTCTCGCTTTATGTGCTGATATGAGGTGTGGGAACGTGAAACGTTTTGCAGCAGTGCCTGGATCGACGTTGCTCAAGTCTGTCTACAGTTAGGTTTCAGTATAGAATATTTAAAGTCAAATAGTTAAGAAAGTATTTTAGCTGGTTCACCGGTTTGTTGATTTAGAGTGGTTAATGATGACTGGTTAAAGTAAACTCATATAGTTATCCGCATTTGTCAATGGAAGATGTTCGGCAGTGATGCATTTTCAACCCACTAGCCTTCCTGTTACTTTGGCTTTTATTCTTAATCAACCGTACATTTGTAGTTGTACGCTTTGTCTATAGGATTCTGAGTACCACTAATTGTATGTAAGCATGTTTTATTCGATTGAAGGATACAGTGAATTCCCCAACATTCTTGATCATTCAATTTGGATTGTACACATAACCACGGTTTATTATTACCTATTTATGAGAGATATCACTCGGCCTTACTCCACTGAATTGAATTCACACCCACCACTTTAACTGGCTACCATCTTCTCTGTACATCAAAGGACGATAATTACTTCATGGACACTTTTGTCATTCGACAGGCTTTTCATGAACAGAGTAATCAACTCTCATCATCAAAATCAACCTGGGACCAAGCATTACTTCGTAACAGTCCAAGTTGCCACACCTCATATCACCACATCAAGTAAGAAGGCAACAAAATGGGAGATAAAGATACAAAGAAGGAAAAATCGGTCAAAAGTATAAAGGAAGGAAAGAGATTATCAGGTTAGGTAAAGAGGCTAAGATGGGGATAATGTGAGTACACAACTACTGCACTGAAACCGGTCCTGAAATATATCACTTAGAGTCTCTAAACACTAGTTTCTTCTGTCCCGTGAACCCAACTAGCTAGTCTGCATCGCCTTATATAGCTCAAACTAACAGTCAGGGATTTCATACACTGACACGTTTTAGTTCGCCCCTCCCCCCCTTACCACGAGCAATTTCCCAGACGGATCCTAATTCGGCTAACAATGTATGACGAGGCAGATGGTGGAAAGGCATACGTAACACATGTCCCAGCCATCTCAGTTGATGAAGGTTTACAAACCCATCAACTAGCTTACCTCTCTTGTATAAAACTCTACATCAGACTTCTGCGTTACTGACATGGTGACACTAAGAAGACAACGGTTATCAAACACCTGAATTCTTGTCATGTACTCTACCTTTAATAGCGATGTTTCACAGCCATACAGTAGAACAGAGCGGAGACTACAGCACAGTACACTCAACCCTTAAGAGACAGTCGGATATCGCGGCGGCGCCACAGATGGCGTATTTTGGCAAAAGCCGACCGAACCTTTTGCACCCGAGAAGAGAATTCGTCAGCCAGTGAGCCATCAGGGCTGATTCCACTCCCCAGATAAGTGGAGTGTCCAAGGCACTCAACCACTTCATGCTCTATTGTTTAGTCGGGGTACCGTTGAAGACCAGTCCTGGAGCAAGAATTTTCATTTGGGTGGCGAGAAACGCATCCCAAACATTTTCAAATTGCCACTCAATGTGTCCAGAAGTCTCTGCATCTTCACCTAAAAGGATTGTCATCTGCGTATTCTAGGTCTACCGAAAATTTTCCTGTGATTCGGTCAGTCCCTGCGTAGTTAGACGATGCGAGGGGAATATCCAAGACGGAGTCGAACTCCGCCTTCAGGTTGGGAAATAAAACCAGTGTTGAGCGTCCGTGAGCGTGCCTGAGTTCCAGAACCTGACGGAGTGTGAATATTTAGTTGGTACACCAAAGGCCAGGTCTAAAGCCTGCCTGGTTTGCTCGGGGCTTTTGTTCCCGAACTCTACTCAGGCGTCAAAAAATTATATAACCTAGAATTTTAGATGCTATATTCGTCACAAGTGGACTTCTCGCCTTTCTTGAGGACTAGAATAACCAGTGACTTAGACTAGTCAGAAGGGACCGTACTTGATTCCCATGTACTAGTTAACACTTCCGTTAACCTGACTAAGAGCACTCTACCACCTACCTTGTATACCTCAGGAGTTAGTCCATCTGGTCTTGCTGCTCTTACTCGTTACAAGTTAACCTACGCTTTCCCGGCCTCTGCAAGCCTCACAAACATAGTGTACATCCATGGCCCAAGTTTTGACCAATGAAGCTCGTTCGCCAGTTTGACGGAGGATGCGGACATTGAAGGCTCCAATGTGCAATTTGCAGCGTGGTTTAAGGAGACCAAGGATGTTGTTCTGTGGACTCAATTCGTTGTCGAGACCTACACAGCCAGAAGAAAAAAAAGATGTAGGATTGCAAACAGAGATAAGGGAAGATTAGAAGGTAAGAATAAGGTAGGTGAATAGCGGTCTGAGGTAATTTGAACGCTGACAGAGCTGTGAGGAGGGTTGACACTAACCGGCTGCTCACACCGTGGAAGGCTCCGTCTTTTTGAGGTACCTGAGAAAGAAGGGTTAATGTACAATCTAACAGCCCAAGGGATATCTACTCGAGATCAATCACGTATGGCCTTTTAAACCCCACGAAAACTGGCCTACATCATGGAAGATGTGGCTGAACATACATCTAGTGGCTTTGGATCACCACTAACAGCTTATGACTGATCTAAGCCACTATAATCAATCATCTCTTTGTTTAAGAACATGTTACGGGTAATTGCTTCTGTCTAACCACTGTCCGGCAGACCTTTCTGGTATGGTAGGAATCCAAGTGAAGAAGCGTCCCACCAGTACAGCTCGTTGGGTCTTCGTGATATACAAGTTCGACCACCACGTCAAGGTAGCAGCTATCGATCGAGTTAGGATGTCAAGAAGTCATTCACATTCAGGCTGGATTCAGCGTCACACACTACTTATCGAATATGTCATTTTTAGTGTAAAACCGACGGGCAGTACATCCATTTTTATCATGCTTGCAAAAAACCTGGATTGCGGTTAGAAAACCAGAAAATTTCCTATTTCAAATGAATAACAGCGATTAGTCACCCTTATCATTAGACAGTAAATATTAAACATTCCTCGGAGTATTTTTATCACATGACTGTTGCAGTGGACAAACTAACTAATGTAGGAGTGCATAGTCCAATCCTAGATCCTGAGTTAGATGAAGTACTCAATACACTTATCCCAGTGTAGTCCCAAAAAAGATTTTCTCCTTTTCAAACTACTACGTAAGATTTGTCCATGTATATTTTTGGCCGCCATAGACTGTCATTACCTGCAGATGCACAATATTCTGGTTAACTCCAAAATATTTTCGCAGTAGTTAAAAATAGTGACGTTAGTTTAATAGATGGAAACACTCGAGTTATAAAAATTATATTTACAAAAGAATAGATTACAGTTACAAGGGGATGTTCGTCTGACGATTACGTTCAAAAGACGTTCTGTTTCGTTTATTTCCCAGTGTTTTTCGAGCACGTGGGCACTTATTCCGCCGACGTTCAATTTCATGGATAAGATAACCTTCAGGCTAAAAGTAGGAAACATGGATTACATCTATATCATCTAAAAATATAGTTCAAACCAGTAGCCATGTGGGCTATTTATCAATTAACAAAGTGAAGTGAAATTTAATACCACACCATTTTAACGTAATTTTAATACAGTTAACAAGAAATCTTTAGACAAACAGAAGGTTGGGTGCTACTCGGTATTAATGACAAACGAGCGGATACGCTGAGATTCGAAAACTTTTTGATGAGTTGATACGTGCCAACTTGTTTTGACAGTTACAATAATCTATCATATGAACTCAATCATGACCGCATAAACCATGCCTGCTTTAATAGGTCAAGAATGCTAGGAAGGTTGACTGTAATCTTGAAACCATCTTTGGTCTAAAATTGCCAAAGTCCCAAGTCAGGTGCAGCCGGATCACACAGTATAACGACGACAAGTTGTATTCTTTGAAAGGAAATTATTCTGTCTATTCTAGTGTGAACATAAGTTGGATAAATCTAACCTAAGAAATAAAACATCCTGCCTATGTGTAGCTGCGCTGCTCACAGATTTTTAACTTTCTGGATCCGCTATGCCTTGGCGACTGACAAAGTAAATATACTTAAACTATGCGACCACTTATCTGGATAGGAAATGTGGGGAGCATCCTAATAGCTAGCAGTCTTCAACAGCGCTCACAATAATATCGAGCTTATACACAGCACGAGAATGATGGTAAGTTCTATTTTTGTGACTTCCATATACAACGTGGGATGGGCTGCACACAATCTTTATCAGCTGTGTTAGTTAATAATAATATTTAACAAAGCCAAAATGCACTTAAGTGACAAGTGAAGAGTTGCAGATGATGAATAAACGCTTACGAAACAAAGGTTATCCGCAAAATGTAAATGACGAGAAGTTGAAATACATCCGCCTTATTTTCAAAGGCGATGATATTGCAGGGACAGATGAGTGAAGACAGAACTAGTAAGAAATTTCCCCGCAAACAGGTTACTTTTTTTTACAACAAATAACATGTCTTGCGTAGTTAAAAGTCGAAAGGAATCCGTTTTTGTAGGGCTGTCAAAGCAGGTTAATTGGAAGAAATGAATGACGGACACGCCTCTGATTAACTGAACAAAATATTGACTCACGGTGAAAATTTGGAAGTAATCATTCAAAATATAACTGACAAAAGAGTTTTGGTGTTTGTCAAGACAACTGACACACAACAAAGCTTAAGTCTCTTGAAGTTAACTGGGCTCTTAGTTGTCAAACGTGTGAAACCTGATGTGTTCAAAGAGAAGCCATCACCGATTTTTCTTGGTCCAGTAACCTTGACGACTGCCGAAGCCAATGTACTTAAACTATGTAGGGAGCATCCAAATTGCTAACTGGTCTTCAACAGTGCTTACATTAATGCCGAATCTCACCATTTTGTCACTCCTCTTTCCTTTCTTCTCGTACTTTATATTTCTTTTGACTGTATTCACTTATCTTCATCCTTCGCCTCACTACCTTTTTACTTGATGTGCTGATATGAGGTGTGGCAACCCGGACCGTTACGCAGTAATGCCTGGTCCTATGTTGATAATGATGATGATGATGACCGAGTTCATGCACAGCACAGGAATGATGGTCTCACATGACCAGTGTAGTGAATCCTTTAGATATTTTTACGAGTACCTGATGATTCAATGATGAGTTGTCACGGACTCGCTGCTGTGGACATAAGATTAAGTTGCTGAGCATAAACTACACTTCTCAAACGAGTATCAGTCAAAAGCCATGCGTAGTGTTTGAGTAAACGGATGTATAGAACTGGCAAGAAATCGTGACACCTATCTCGAAATCCACAACTAATGGTTGCAGTTTGGGTAATATAAATGAAATTCATCGTGAATTGTCAGTTTTAGCAAATAAAGTGCAACTTTTATAGTCTTAGAGAAAGGTCACTTAAACGCACAAAACAATAAATAGTTTAAGAAGAGTGCTTACACAGAGCTTTCTTAATGATGACGGAATTTCCTTGGGTAAGTGAAACGGGATATCCAGATCAGTGTTCTTTAGTTTGCTGCGAATCTCCTGCTTGGCTTTTTTGTTATCTTACGCACTTTTCTGGACTTGTCCTCACGTTTGATTTCCTTGAGCAATTTTGGCAAACTAAAAAACTGTGAAGAGTAGTAAGCCATACTTTTCAAGATCATTCTTCATCCTTTTCTCAACATTCACCTTCTTAGGCTTTTTCTTTAGCAACAAAACCTCTGAAGTTTCATGACCACTTCCCATAGGAACTTCAGTGTTCAACGAATGTAAGAATCTCCTCATATCTACTACAGGATTTTGCGTCTAAAAATATCAGGTGTTAAACCAGATACCTACCACTTTGGCACCCTTGAGACTTTCAACAAAACGCTCCGTTTTTAATTCACGTTTACGCTTAACAGACTCAATAGTTTTTATCCGTGAGATAAGTGACAAATGGTCACTCCTTGTTGGATTGTATGACTGGCCTGCACATGGCAGAGAAGTGTTTATTACGTTCGCTTCTACTTCTTTCAAATCGTGGGATTTTATGAGGAACGGACACTCATTGGAACAATCTAATAATTACTTATACTAAGATGAAACACCAAACCTTGCCAGACGTCTTTCTCCAGAGAACGTGTTTTTTGGACAGCGGGTCGTGCAACATAAGGTCTTTTATCTTGTGCAGTGGATATTTCGCGAAATTGCTTGGCAGAATCCTTGTCACCCTTCACGATATGGCCTTAAGTGTGGTTAAAAGGCAAAGCGAGCAACTAACATTTCTTTTGAACTGCATCTGATACTTCAGTGAAGCCCTGGTTAATGCTTCAAAAGTTTTTACTTTGTAATCATCTCTACTTACATGCTCTTATGAAGAATAGCATTCTGTAGTTCTGACTGAAGATCTTTGTAGCAGTGTTGCCACCGCCTTTTTTTATTTTTACCCAGACGCTTCATTTACTCACGCCTTTGAACTTTCCAAAGAGAGCGCCCAACCGTGTACAATAAAAAATGGATGAGAGGAGTTTTGGTATGTCTCAAAATCCTCGATGGGATTTCTGTCGCAACGTTCGTAATTTGCAGTATGCAATGAAATCATTATCATTCTGCACATTCGCCTGAATAAAATTAAAATAAAAAAACATGGTCGTCTTCCGAAATGTGGCGGCCTAAGCTCTAACCCAGAATAATTCGTACGGTTGAATGAAGCTGTGGAATGCAAAGAGAAAACAAAACTGGCAAAACAGTTCGGGATGTTTTAGCAAATCTTAAACGAAAAATAAAAGGATAGCTTGTACTGGTAGGTTATTTTTAGTCCTCCCTTGATTTCCTGGTGGAACATACAGCTTCAGTAGCACATCTCCATTCCCCTCTCTTCTCTGCAGTCTTTACAACCTGGCTGCACGACTGCCCAGAAGTTTTCATTTATTCCTCACATGATCTCCCCATGTCACCCTCGCCTCGGACGCCATACTCGTCGTTCCCCATGCGGGTTCCACTCGAGGTCTTGGCACGTGATGTCCTCGAATGGTTTCTTCAGTGTATGCCCAGTCAAATCCATCTCCACTTTCTTCTGCATATTTGTGGAGCGATAGGTTCTTGGTTGGTTCGCTACCAGCTACGGTGAGTTCCTTGTTGCTTATTCTTATTATTCTGGCAATCCATCTGATCTCCACCTTCAGTACCGAGTGAGCGTAGACGGCAGCTGTTGATGAATGTCTGTAGTTTGTTGGAAATTCCTTTCGTGACGCGCCAAGCCTCTGAACCATCACCTAGAAGCAGTGACTTGACTGACATTGTGGTTGAAAATCCGGATCTTGTTCACGCTTTTTGCTGAGTGCAGTAGATCTCCACACTGGTTTCAGGTTAATGAACGCCTGTCTTGCTGTCTTTCCGATCCTGTGTGCTTTGACGTCCTCGTCTGTGCCGCCGCCACCTGGGCTAGGCTAGGTAGGTGGAAGAGACTACTTCCTTCAGGTTTCTCCTGTTGATGGTGATTGGTGCCTGTTGCTGTTGTTGGTGGCGTTAGTTGGGTATCATCATCACCTACCTCTGTCTTCCCTGTGTTCACTTGAAGTCCCGTCTTCGTTGTCTCGCCTCGCCTCGTTTCTTCTGTCAACTTGTTAGTTTTCGCCTATAGATCTTCGAGTTTGTGCGACAAGACATTAGACACAAGTCATCGGCGAAATCCAAATCTTCTAGGATCTCTTCCACAGTCCAGCGTATGCTTATCTTCTCGCTCCTCACTGTTTGCTGCATGATCCAGTCCAGTCGACGACAATCGGGAATATCATGGGTGATAGTAGACAGCCTTGTCTTACTTCTGTCTTCACTTCAAAGGCATCACTGAGCTTCCCATTATGAATTACTTGGCATGCGGCGTCATCCTACGGTTGTTGAATGAGGTTGATAAAGGTCTGTGGTATTCCGGAGTGTTGAAGCAGCTGCTGGCAAATTACTTCTCGGTCGACACTGTCGAAGGCCTTTTCAAAGTCGATGAAGTTGAGGTAGAGTTGAGTTGAGTTGATTACCATTCTATGCTCTGTTCTATGATGATGCGTAGTGTGGCGTTGCAATTTGATCTGCACATGATTTGTACTTCCTGAATCCAGCCAGCCTGTTCGGGTCGTAGTTTTGAATCCAGCGCATCCTCTAGTCTCTCCAGGATGATGCGGCATAATATTTTTCTCACTCGGGGTGGACAAGGATAGGAGCACGATTCCTCACCAGTTCCTGCAAAGATTTAGGTCGCCCTTCTTCGGGAGTTTGACAAGGTAGCCCTTCTTCTTCCAATCAATGGGCAGGTAACTTTCCTTCCTTCCTTCCTTCCCTCCCCCCTTCTAAGCCTTCTTCAGTAGTGGTGTGAGCGTTTCCGCTGTTGTCTCTGCGTCTGTTTTCAGCACTTCTGGTGGAATTCCATCTGGTCCTGCTGCATTCCCGGATTCCAATAGCCCTATGGCGTTCAGGACTCCACTTCTGCTTTTGTCGGATGGCTTGTGTCCACTGGTAGTTCCGTGACTGAGCTGCTGCTGGTATTTCTGGACGGCTTGCAGGTGGTGGTGATAGTGGTCGACTGAAGAGTTTTTTGAAGTGGTCCGCCTATTGTTTCCTTTGTTTCTCCCCTTTGCTAACTACGTTCCCTTCATTATCTTTCATTGTTTTCATCTGAGTTGATCTCTTCCCTCCCAGATAGTAGCCCAGTTGTTTGATATAGTGTTGTCAGGTTTCTGTCTCCTACCAGCAGCCTGTTCTGCTTCACTTGCCAGTGTGTCATAGAAGTGTCTTTCGTCTTTGTGCGCACTCTTCTTCACTTCTTTGTCCAGTGTAGTGTTTTATAGGTTGTGTTCAGTTCCTCTTTTCATTATTCATCTCTGCATTGCACTGCACTGCACTGCACTTCACTGGTCCATCTTCTGCCTCACCATCTTCCTCTCCCTTCTCTATCAGCTTCCATGTGTCCATCAAGATCCATTGCTTGGCTTGTTTCTTCTTCCTTCCTGATATAGTCATGCAGGTTTCTTTCCGCATCTCCTTCATAGAATTCCGGTGTTCTTCCAAGCAGGTTTCTTCAAGTATGCTGTTCAATATCTCCCATTTTGTCCTGATGACTAACTGACGTGAAGATGTCGTTTGTAGTTCGTCCTTCACTTCAGTTTCTTTCCGTTCTGGGTGTTCAACTTGAACTTGAACTGTGGCCTATCATCAACTTCTTTGAAGGCTTTCAACTTGATTTTGAAGGCAGGTTCCATGCACTAGATAGTGAGTGGTATGAACCACCGACATCTGCTCCTCTTCTTGATCTTGTGTCCAGTAGGCTGCGTCTCCACTTTCTTGAGATTGAGATGAAGTCGACCTGATATTTAGCGTGTCCATGCGGCGAAATCAAATCCATGTCGGTTTGTGGATATCCTTGAGATTGTACACACTGCCTCCAATCACCAAATCGTTGAATGCGCAGAACTCTGAAAACAGTTCTCCGTCCCATCCATCATGTTACCAGGTGCTTCTCGACCTGCAGTTAGTTATCTTCCTGTGTTATCCGCTCCCAGTTTGGTATTCATGTCACCTATTAGAATTGATTTTGATGTCATCATATAGAGTGAGGTCTTGTCCATCACTGATTGCAGTTGTCTGTAGAGTTCCTCCTCCTCCTCCTTTTGATCTGCGTTATTTGTAGGCGTGTAGCGTAGCATTGTATGATTGTGACTTTCCTTCCTCTTGAGTTGAACCTTGTTGTCATGATCCTGATCTTGATGATATCAGTCCCCACTGGATGGGAAACATATTCGTTGCTGTCACGTCATCATTAGTGCCATTCAAGAACTTAGTGTGGTCGTTTTTTTCGTCTGCTTGACAATATTTGAGTAGATTTTGACTCTCCAGTTGATATTTTGGAGAGTCCACTTCCATTCCATCTGCCGTTCCTTGCCATTTCCTTGCCTTTCGCTCCTGAGCTATGTCTCATCTCCCTGGCAATCTGGGCAGCTGTGCTTGTTTCAAACATTGTGCGGACATTTTATATTCCCATCCTTACTTTCGCTTTGATCGAGATAGAGAGACAATTTGGCCAGTTGGCTTCCCGAAGGCTTTCATCAACCGGCGTCATTTCTTCCCCCCGATCCCAGCGACCAATAGGTTTGTTTTTATTTTTTATATTTTATTTGTGCTTTTGGTTTCTGTAGGGGTTAGATTGGTTTTACGTGGTAGATTTGCCAAGATTTCGCTTTCACCAGAAAGTTTTCTGCTTTGAATCGCAACCTACCTGTACTCAACCTGGCAATGTCCTAACACACTCAAAATCCGAGGGGACGGATCAATATCACAGGTTTGTAGATTGAAATCCAATAGATATGATGACGGTATACGTTTTACTGTTTAATACAAATCTCGGATAAATGTTACCACCCTGTCAAGCCTGGTTACTTTAGCGGACCTAAGAATGCTAATTGAAACCTGAAGTTCCATCGCGGATGGTCAACAGTTTAAGTGATTTCTATTTCTATATTACAAGCGCGAACAGTTGGTGAGTGGCCCCTGCGTTTGTCAAGTTGCACGAGTACAAATCCTAAAGTCTAGTGACTCTTATCCTAGGTAGCGAAGCCGTTGATTCAGAGGGGACTTAGGATTTAGGAAATGACACTTTCGTAAAGCCAACTTGAGTACTGCAGTGGACAAGTGCATTGGTAATAGTAACTGTCTAGGAGGAGTTCAAATTTTGCATCAAGATTTTTCAAAATCGCTTCGTCGTATGAACTGCAGCTGCTTTGTCAGTAACCTAAGCTAGTCAACTAGCTGCCCATTGATTGACTCCGGTCATATTAGTGCAGCCTTTCATTTATTGCTTAGGTTGGCATGTTCCTGTCCGAAGAGGCAGACTCCCAGTGAAATTCAGGATGGTTCGGTCTTATGGCTCACCCCTTCTTTGATGCGTATAGGGGATGGCCTTCGTAGGTTTCTTCAATAATATTTCTTTCCTTTGGCTGCATGAAAACTTTGTGAGCCTCGAACGCCCTATGGCGACGGCTCTAAATCAACCGCAAAGTAAACACGGACAGACAGGCAGACCCCATTTTAACAGGATGTCACGGATATTATCCCAACCGATAGGTCCCAACAAAATAATGGACAATGACAAACAATGCAAAGGACACGCGGTAGATGATTTGAGATGTAACTGTGTTTGCCAACATGTCATATATATAAGGGGAATCAATTTCGACAATGATGTAATATCGGAGTACGGTATATTTTCAAACATTTAGACGAGGTTACATGATTTAGATGATAAATCATCGAAGAGAAACCAGAAGTTAGGAAAACTTAGCAGGTCTTAGGAACTGGGCAAAAAAATGGAATTCCATTCAATGTCGGAAGCTCTGAAGCTTTACGTTTACAAAACTGTTGTGTTAAATACAGTCTAAACGTAACAGAACAAGAGGCGTAGAGGATGGAGAAAAATTGAACGTACGAGTCCTCGAAGCTGAAAATCCCTCTCAACTGAAACAGGATCGCGTTTAACTCCAAATTGGTGCCTGGAATTTCCAGCCAATTTTTCGGTAACTGAATTCTATACATTTCCACCAGAACCGTGGTAGCCACAGACGCTATGAACTACGGTATGAGACCATTTCTTTTCGCTTCAATGCAGAGATGTAAATTGTGTTCAGAAGCCATCCACAGACCGTTAAACATCCAGCATCTGTCTGACAAGCTTCTGTTAACTACTCGATTTCTTTGTGCTCTCCCCTTGGTCATGTGGAATGCTTCCGAGTCTTCGACGGGTTGCGATGCAGTGGATACAGCCACTTGTCTGCTATGAGTCTGATGTAGAGAACAGAGGGTTTTGCGTTGGTTAATTTGGCTGCGACTGTGTTGCGGTTGGGCTTTTCTAATGCAGCGTTTCCGGACAGCTTTATGGACTGGTCATAGGAGGGAGTTAGGATAGTAAAGAGTGAATCTAGGAATACAAATGTGTGTGGGTAGAAGACAAAGAAAAGTAAACTGATGGAGTAGTCCACGCACACCCAAGCAGAATGAGAAACATGAAAGGATATATAGAACTTATATGAGTGAGGCTGTCTTAGAGAGCGAAGGGGGTTGAAAGGACCTAAATGATAAGAGTGAGAGGAGGGTTGGTCTGGAGGTAACGCGGTTGGAATGGTGTAGCAGTAGTTGATTCCTTCGCTCTGGTTCGTATTCTAATAAGATGGGCTTGAAGCATGGATCACTGTGTAACCGTCTAGTCTTTTCTTAAAAATTTTGACAGATGGGAAGGAAACTACCTTGGCTGGTAGTACATTCTAGTGCCTCCAAGCTTGAAAAGAGAAGGTGAATGCACTCAAGTTTTTGACTTTGGTGGACAATTCTCTTAAGGTGCCCGCGGAGACTACCTTACTGGCCATTCGGAAGTATTCCCCTATTCGGGTGCGTCCCAACGGTACCCCTCGCTTCTCGCCTCTGAACTTTTCCCGGGAGGTCCACGCCTCTTCCCAGGTGTGTGGAGCGAAGGCATCACAGACGTCCGAGTGGGATGGTATGTAGGCCTTGTGGAGCTTCAAAAAGAGCTCTGAACCGAGGTCACTCAGTTGTCTACGCAAAAAGCGTAGCGTGCCATATGCTTTTGAGGCATCTCCTGAGTAGCTGGAACCGGCGTCCAGTTTCACCGTCACCACTGAACCTAGGTCCTTCCCTGCTGCGGCATTATAAAGATGTGAATTACCGAGAGAGTAGGATACTTTCTGCGGATCAGGAGTGCGGCAAAACGTGGACTGGCATTCGCCCAGCTTAAATACGAATTCTTTGTTTCTTATCCACTCCTGATTGTTTTGAGGTCGTTCTGCAATGCATCTGGTCCGTTTCGCATTTCGGCGCCCTCCATAACTTGACGTCGCCAGCGTATAGGAGAATCGGAAGGCTGATATGCAGTGGGAGGCCATTACGAACAGTAGGAATAACAACGGACCCAGGATTGCTGATTGTGATGCACTGACGATGTTCTTCAAGTTTGATAATCCCTACTGACTTTCGCTCAGAGCTCCTTGCTGTCAATCAGCCATGCAGCCACAGTGAAACCTGGCCACGGATAACTAATCCAGCTATTTTGCGTATTGGAATGGTATGCGAGGCAATGTCGAAGGCTTTGGCAAAATCCATAAAAATCTCATAGGCAGGAACCTTGAGGTTTAAGCAAGTGATCATTGGCCGTCAGAAGGTTGAAGGGACAGGACCTTCTCTTTCGGAAGCAGTGTCGAGCACCACCGAGTGCTTTCTTTGTGTCCCGATATTCACTGACATGGTCGTCTATCACGCTCCCACAAACTTTTGATATTACCGGCAGAAGTGCCATGGATCGATAAAAGTTCGGGTTCCGCCTGCCTCTTCTTTTGAGGATGGGAGAAAAGTGTCCCGTTTCGACTCTCGTGATAGATTTTGTTCGTCTAGGGAATGTTGAAAGAGACTTCAGAGTGAGCCACTCAGGGTCTTGCACAATGTTTCAACACAGATGGGCGAATGTCGTTGTACCTTCGGGATTTTCACGCACTTAGCCTTGGCAGCTTATCAAGAACAATGGAGCGAGTTGTCTGTACTACGTGTAACTCTGCTGCGTCGGACAGCTTTGGAACTGTCCAGACCGTGGGCATTCATACTTGCCCGACGGGCTGTTGAGCTGCGTGTCAAGGTGGTACTCACCATTTCGACGATCTCCTGTCCAGAGAGGTTTTCTCGGTTCGGACCTTTGGGGTTTACACAAGCCTCCTGACGAGATTGGACCAGAACGACCTCCTGACCATCCGCACCCCAATGTCGCATCGGTTTCTCAGAGCTGTGCACGCATGGTGATCGTCCCCTTCTCTGGTGAGTCATGCTATGCTATGCTTTCTTCTTGACTTTCAGGGGCACTCATTATCTCGTTTTAGCCATGAAGTCCGCTTCCTGGACGTTGTTGCGTTTCGAGAAATTGCCACCTTGATGATGTCTCTTACTAGTCCCCACTGCTGTTAAACCGATAAGGAGCCCAGGTCTACTAGCTATAGATCCGCCGACGGTCATTTACTCGTTCCCTGCTGTAAAAGAGGCAAGGGCAGGATCTATCCGAAGACAATTGCTTACTGACTACCAGATCAAACGATTGCATAGAGTGGCCACCGCTCCAAGAGGGGTTTGAAGGTGGACGCTTTCAACTAGTAGACGGTCACTAGCAGCCAGATAACCCAGCTTAGATGGTTCACCATCTGACCTTCAGCGGGTGTCGTCGCTAGGTTTTACGTTTGGCCCAGCCATTTGGATGGCATGTAGCAGATTATGATCGCATTTCCGGCTCGGGATCGCGCTGCCTTGCTTCAGGTTGAGAGTTGGGGCGTTGAAGTCACCAGCGATTAGGACATGTTCATGCCCCTTGGTCGACACTGTGGATATTACTTGGAGTAGTTTTCGGTTGCGTTCCAAGTAGGTATCAGGGACCTACAGACCCCCGCAACCAGATGCTCAGCGTGTGTGACGTGGGGTGGGACCAGGTTGAGTTTTGGAGCTCTGTCAATGCAGTGTCAGCAGTTTGTTCACTTTTGAAACAGCCGTTCATGTAAATCTCAAGCCCCTCCTTCTCATGTTTCCTGTCCCTCCTGGACAAAACCGTGTAGTTTTTACCACCTTCTGTGTCGCTGATGTCCGGCGATAATCATGTTTCCGTCAAGATCATATTCTTCGGAACACGGCGGGAATGGAAGGATCGCGGCTCTGGTGATTTACTTCTGAGTCCCCTCGCGTTGCTGTAAGGACAATTCGAAGCGCTTCTCGTAACGTGGTGCCTCTAGATTAACTAGTAGCACGGATTTGCATGTGTGTTGGGTTTTACTGACCGACCAAATTCTAATAGAACCGTTCAGTTAAGTTTTTCTCCAGGCCGATCGATGCAGTTGGTGCTGGCTGGATGTTGCCGGCCTGACTCTAGGCGTGTCGGCGTGAAGCGATGGTGACCTGATCACGCGGAGCAATCACTGTTCGCTGTTGTTGTAGTGTTCTAGGTTTGCTTTCACAGCAGCAAACATTCCTGCTTATGGTGCTCTTGAGTTTATCCCTTGTCTCTAGCACGTAGCCCGAACCCCTAGAGATTTGAAGCTGACGGTCACTAGTCTAGGTGATTTGAAACAAAGAAGACTAAGCAGGAATTTTACGGTGTCATGTAATACTCTTAACGTCCTCGGACAACTACTTCGTCACTTACTCAAACTCAGTTTCGGATGACACGAAAAAGTGAAGCTTGGAACATATCAAGCTGGAAATCAGATGTAACCTCGAGTCCCTAAGAGCTATTAGATCTCAGAATTTTCTTGCTGTATCACTCAACTAGACTTATACGTCAGAATCTTCCAGAGTCCCACCTGACGCCTACTTACATTGCGTGTGAGTTAAATCGAGAATAACTTGTTCTGGCAGTTTACTACCTTTTGTCGTTGGTTTGTACATAGTGTAGCAACAAGAGTAGCTTGTGATCTATTGTTTCTAAGTACATCAGATAACTAAGAGAAAGCTTATTCTAGTCTTTTACCAATCGTTTGAAACCACTCGGGCGTAATGTTGTTTAAACGACTTATAAGTCTCTGTCACCATTTCAATTTACTATGGATGATGGTAAGATTGCTTCTTTTTTGGTGACTAATGTTGACTACATGTAGTAGGCTTTGATGAATCTGCTGTTAGTAAAAGAGGGAAAAGACGAAGACAAAAGACTGAGGCAAGAGATTCTAAGAAGCGCATGAAATTGAAGCATAGGGTACGCAAACAAACCTTCATTTTATTCTCTAGGATGAAGATGAGTCTGCTTTGGTCATACCGAAAAGACGTTCAGACCGTGTATCAAAGGTTTGCTTTTTAGTGAGTATATAGTTTCCTTAGAAAGAAAAGACTGTGGATCAGTTATGTGAAGAGCTAGGGATTGAGGACGTTGAAATGACCTACTCAACTGAGGACTTTGAAAATTGGACCATTCAGAAATTATTCGACCAGTATGTTCGTCCTCTGATTACAAATAAAAACCCGAATGCATCTAAAGAGGATGTTCAGAAAGTATTAGATGCCAAATGGAAGGAATTTGCCATTATGAACCCTTATATTCCTAAAGGAGAGGAAGGTAATCAATGCTAATGCTACTTAGTATTTCTAGATTTGGACGATGATTTTGATGATGGAGATACTGAGACTCAGGATGATGACATTTCTGACGTCCGTGTGCAAACTATGTCTTTTAAAAGACGCAGGGGAGTTGTTGGCAAGCATATGACCCAGGTGTCAACAGCTGGATATGCAACTCCTATTTCTGTAGGTGGGGGAAGCGAGGTTGCGAGTCGGTCGCCCTCACCTTCACCCGCTCCTGTTTCAGCTACTACACCTCCATTAAAGATCAGAATAAGCAAAAAGAAAAAGCGACGGGGCCGAAGAAAGGCTGAGGTAAATTTTTGTTTTGGTTTATAATGTCAGTCATCCCTGTGTTTGGACCACCTTTCACTTCAATTTCGTTGCCCTGTTTTAGATTGTTGGCTTATTTGTCTGGACGCCTATTTCTCAATTTCTCTCCGTCTGTCTAACTTATACCAACTAAGCAATGCCTACGGACACTACGCAACGCCTATGGCCCGGTCTATCACTTTTCTTTCTCTTTGACAATCTCTTTTTGTTGAGATGTTTGCCACATTTTTAGTGGGAGGCGATCCTTTTTATAGCCTACTTATTTGCTTGTTCAGCCATTTTAGCGAATCAGTCGACGATGCGGGTTATTTTTTTTAACAGTTGGTTTCAAAAGGGAAGCAATAATGCACATTGCTACTGCATTCTCTTTGGCTTAAAAATTTCACCATGGCTTTTCAAGTGTTCTTTCCTGAGTAGTAACTAAAGTTACTTCAAACTCAGGCATCCCTTGTGTTGTGTCCAAACCTGACCGAAATGGTTTCAGCAACCGGGTGCACATTCGTGCTGTAGGCAACAAGCCACACCTAATGCATGGACTAATGATAGTCTAGCTTCGGACCTATGACCCATTGGTTGGAAGTCAATTACCGAAACCAGTGAGCCACAGCTCCGTATGCGTGACAGCTAACTGTTGCCTGGTTCACAAGATAAAGGAAGGAGTCATTCTTCGTAGGCTAAACAGATTACCAGGAGTATCTTACTTCTAATCGTTACCTGGATTCTTTGCGATCTATTTTACTAGACTTTTTTTTACAGGGTCTGATATTTGTGCATAGTTTTCCGTTTTAAGCCTTTAAGTTGGTAGGATTATTGATGGCTATGGGTTACACGGACCTTGTGTGCTGTAATTACAAACTGCTACTAGATGATAGCGCACTGTGTTCTTCAAGTCGCTACTTGATATGATTTCTGTCTGATTATGTTCAGTTTGACAGCATAGATACTTGGCTAATTTTTTGCCTTACTCATTACGTTATGTGCATGGTGACATACAACTTTGTCGATACGCATGAAGCATTTTTTTGGTCAGAAAAGTGAGGGACGTGGAGACTACCATAAACACTTATCAGTACCAGTTACCTCATTTGTAATTATAATTTGCTGAAAGTCATGGCCACCAAAGGAGATAAAGAGAACGGAACATAATAACTTTGAGATGTTGATAATAGTGCACAGTGGACACATTTGCTCCACTGCGATCAGGCTATCTTATTGTATGGTATCTCTAAACACTGGCTTTGTTGAATAGGAGATTTGTAGCTCTTGATGAGAAGTATAACTTTGGCGTTCTCCGAGTTTTGATATTTCGTTGTTAAAATATCAAAACTCAGTGAACATCAAACGATTACTGATTTAGTTGTCTTGCTGACCTCAACTGCAATGTCTAAATAGCTGAGACCAGCAACTAGAAGTTCATGAGTTTTTGCCACTTACCGATGTAATCACTTTTAACTTCTTTCCAATCTAACCACTACAAATAAGGTTTTCTAATCAATCATTGTGTTTGAGGGTTGCTTTCTTCATCATTCAAATGCAAATTTATACTTCAAGACTAGTATTTACCAATACCATCAGTGGAGTGAATTTTATAAACTTGTTGACTACTTTACGTTCTTGTGTCAGCTTATATCACTTTTAGCACCTATAGTGTACTATGAGTCTATTGAGGATCAAGTACACTGCTTAATAGTTCGCTGTCTTGTTTTATGACTGAATTGGTGGATGCAAGAAGGCTCCAAGTATTTGGTTACCATTATCTTCTTAACATCAGTCGCATTTTGTGATGCTGCCACATGAGCAATGCAGCGTTTAGGTACGTTCTTAGTTAAAGATAGAAATTAAGCTTATTATCTAGTAATCCTTCGACTTATAGATAAATAAATAAATATCTTTATTCTCAAGTTATGAAGTTAACATTAGAGAAGCCAGTTTACAGGCCTCATCAAATAATATGTTAGGAATGTTTCATGACACACTGCCTACTACATAAATGTGCACAAGGCTGCTGGTTTTTCCCTCGTATTTCATCTCGTTGCTTTGTATATTGACGTGCTAATTCAAGGTGTGAATTGACTGGTTACTCAGTAATACCAGATCCTTTGTCGATGTTGACTGATTGATTCAGTGTTAAGAAGATTAAAGTTTGTCACGTTTTATCTAGTAAACTGGTTGCTTACTGTAGGTGTAAGAACTCCTGTAGAGATCAACCATTGGGAAGAAAGCTTAACATCTATGTTCTCATCCGTTATAAAGTTAGAAATAGACTGAAAATGTTTGAAAACGCCATCTCAGAAAATAGCTGTTAACTCTCAAACGACTAGTCTTCAGGTAGATTCTTCGGTAATTCGATTTGTATGTCATCCAGTTTCCAATCAATAATGCCTAATGTTTCTGGGACTCTATTTTAGGAGACTGGACGTCAGTTAATTTCCAGATTGATTTCGTGTGAATTGGTAACTCAGTCTTGGTGTTAAAGACACTGTATGTCAGCAAACGATAGGCAGCATGCTTAGCAAATGCTCTCACCAGCTTGTTGGTATTCAAAATCTGATAAACCGACCTACCTTCGTTGCCTAGTTTTCAACATCTAAGCTAAACGTTATCCACTGTCTTGATTCACCACACGCGAGCAGCTCCTTGAAGATCACAAGACATTAGCATATACAACCATGTTCGATTAAATGAGTGCTGATTTCCCAGAGCAGCTTAGCATCCACCCTTATGTGTTATTCTGTGCCAAGCATGGCATGCGTCAATGATTTACCTGGTTATCGACCTGAACTGTATGGGAGAATCTAAATGTCCTTGTTGCGCTCCACATGATAACTGAAGTTGGTAGTTGAAGACAGCGTAACATTACTTAGAGTGGGTCTCTATCAGATGGATTCACTTGCATTCATCTTAACTGTTATACTACGTTGTTTAGTTTTTCCCTTTTTTACGTTATTGTTTCCTGAAACCTTGAACTGTAGCATTTTTACTTCCCCATCTTTTCTTTCTGGTTTGTACTATGATGTGTATTGTGGCAATTCAGAACTACGCACAACTATTGCGAATCCCATCTTAAGTGACTGGCTTAGTTATCGTATCAGACCTAATCTCTCTTTTTCACCTGTGTGGCTTCTAAATTGTCAATACTAGCAGTGAGTATTCAATCGTAGGATCATTTTCAAGCTTTTTCCTAATTAATTTATAACTCATTTTTTTGACAGGAGCGGTCCGTTGGAGGTCATAATACAAGCGATGAGGAATTCGAGCGGCAGTTAGAAGAAGCTGAATTAGCTCAAGATGAAGAGCGTGATCGTCGAAAACAACGCTCAGTGAAGCGTCCTAGCACAAGTGGAATTGGACCCGCGGTCAAGTCATCTGATTCTACTTATCTATCCAATAAAATGAACCATACACACCAGAAAACCACTGCACGCTTTCCCCTTGTGGTTGCGCGAACCGTCGCTAAAATTGGTGAAGAAGAAGGTTATGAAACAGATCACCAAGATTACTGTGAAGTTTGTCAACAGGTTGGTTATATGCTACCATAACGTGTTTGCTTTTAATTTAGAGCGAGTCAACTTACGCAACTATTACTAAAACGCTTATTATGATGTTGTTCCTAAGAGAATTACTTTTCTTTTTTTCCAGGGGGGTGAAATAATGCTGTGCGATACTTGTCCCCGGGCATATCATCTAGTATGTTTGGATCCAGAATTAGAAGAGGCTCCGGAAGGGACTTGGTCTTGTCCTCATTGTGAAAAGGAAGGTATAACATTGGTTTCAAAAACAGCTAAAGAACATAAAGACGGTAGTTCTGAAGCAGCCGTTATATCTGATAAGAATGGGAAAGGTATATCGGCGGCTCATGTTACATCTCCCGAAAAAGACGACACCAAGAATTTTGTACTGAATGTAGAGATGGTGGGGATCTTATTTGTTGTGAAAATTGTCCGGCTAGTTATCACATGGCTTGTTTGATTCCACCTCTATCTAAAATACCGGAAGGGGTTTGGCTGTGTCCGCGTTGTGGGTGCAAGCCACTTAGAGCTAAAATATCTAAAATACTCACATGGAGATGGTTTGAGCCTCCAAAAATTAGTGATGAGCTTGTTCATACACATTTTCATCAGCGTCCACAAGAACTGACTTCTGAAGAATGTAGAGAAAAGAAGTCAGTATGTGAAAATGCTCCAGATAGTCTTGGAATCGTTCAGGATTGTAACTCAGAAGTAGATAGCACTCCAACTTTGACATCCTCAGAAAAGCCGGATGAACCTGCTATGGAAATGGCGACGGATAACGAGTCAAAGCCTGTTGCAGAAAAAACCAACCTTTTGTCTTCACAGCCACAGCCTCTTCCAGTTAAACCAATACACGTGAGACGTCCCACAAGAGAGTTTTTTGTTAAATACTCAGATTTATCATACTGGCACTGCGAATGGCTAACTGAACTACAAGTAGATGTTCATCACCCAATAATGCTACGAAATTACTTTAAGAAAAATGATATGGAAGAACCACCACTTCCTGAGGATGGAAGCACTTACAGGTTTGCTTTTATATAAAGTACACTAATTAATTTTTAAAAAGTAAACTTTCTAGTTGAAAGCACGAGTTCACCTTAGTATCGCTCGAAAGGATATTTAAAAAGATATTATGTCGGTCACACGTCGTATTTTAGTGGCTTTAGTTGATTATAAAAAATTGGTCCCAATTGGCGTTGGACCATGTTTAAGAACTAATATGCACCGACACCTAATTTAAGGATAAAAGTTAAGTAGTTGAATGACTTGACTCCATTTACTTGTGAAATCCCATCAGCCGAAATGGGTTGGTGGCTGACGAAATCTGAGCACGGAGACGACAGACCCGTTCCGGCATTTTCCCAACCTACGTCATTGCTGTCACCAGCGAGAACATCCGAGTACCTGTTAAAGGACGAGTATACTATCCTGCATTTTGCTCTGTCCTATTATGCAGCTGTGTGACATGATTGTGTAAGGTAGAAGATATAAAGATTACTCGATTTTAACCCCCGACGCCTTCGCAGCATTGCCCACGTATAGTGAAATTAGACAGAGGGTACTAGGCAAGGCAGATAAGTCAGTTAATGAGGCTGTGAACCTTCATCGACTGGGGTAGCTTGGATACTTTTGCACATGTTTACCTGCAATGTTAGAGGAGGTAGGGTTGGGCTGGAAGAAGGCTTAGGTTGGTCAGACCAAGACCAATCCATGTAGTCTCTGACTTGGCTTGAGCCACATAAGGGATTTAAACTACTTGGTTGGGTCTCCGAGACCATATGAATCAATGACTGACGACTATTCGTGGCATGACGATATATTGGTCAAAATGGTACAGATGTATTCACTCTTTCATGTCCTGTAAAGAAAGCTTGGACATTTTGACTAACCTTCATTTGGCTTAAAATCTTACTCCTTCCATACACTTTAATGATGGTGGTTCAGTGTTCTATGGGCTTTGGTATTCTGTAGCTGACGTTTCATTGTCAGGCTTGGTGACATCCTCAGCACTAACTTCACAAAATAGGGAGGCGTGTTCGAATGTTACACTATTGTTTTGGAAGTGTTTTTGTTGACCTTAAGTGTTGCCCGATTGTAATTAGGGGGAGAGATTTTTGTTACATCTTGACCTCTTTAACCTTAATTTTCACTCGATCACACGGGTAGAGAATCTTCGTTAGAGCGGGATTGTGCTGTTTTGTACTGTCACACTACTTCATTATTGATTTTTTGATTACTTTACCTCCGGTTAATGGAAGGCTGTAATTCCCGTTGATTAGATCATAGGTTGGTTCTGTATCTACATGTCTGTTGGTTGACTTTTGCTTGAAATACCTTACTTTTAGAAATTCTCTTGGAATTTTTGAACCTGCTCTTCGAAGGATTTCCACATTCTCTGTTAGTTTTTTGATCATGTCTGTGTGGATTGAAATCAAGGAGTTTGCATCATGTCGCTTTACTGCTAGTTGATGTTCATGAATTAGTTGAGCAGTCAAACAGCTAGGTTGGCTAACATGGTTGTAAAAAATCGTTACGTTTGGTTTTGTCTTATCTTCCTTTGGCAACTGATCCTTCAGCTTGCATAATATTCTCTGTAGTGATTTCGTTGGTTTGTGTGCTACTGCAATCTCGGACGGATGAAGCAATCGGTTGACCGTTTCCGAGACACCTTTGATGTACGGTAACGTAACGCGCCTGTTGGTTTGAGGCAATTGCGCTGTCCTATCTTCTGCTGACAGACATTTTTTGATAAACTTATGTGGATAACCATTGACTTTGAACACTTTGTACACGTATTTTTCTTCCGCTTTCCGTAGTGGTTCAGTACTACAATGTTTTTTTTGACTCTTGAAAATAGTGTTTGTACATAATGTTTCTTATGAACTATAAGATGATTGATGTTCTAGTTCTGTGTTCTCCTTGTACACTCAAGTTTGCAATGACCCACCGTGTGTTCTAATAAGGACATCTAAGAATGTGATTTCGTTATTGGCTTCCTTCTTCGTGAAGTGAAATTTCCTCAAATATTTGGTTGATTATTTTAAACGTGTCTTCTACTTCATCTTCCTAGAGAATTAGGAACGTGTTGTCAGCATACCGAATTCAAATATTTAGTTTGATAAGAGGAATGACTGTTGATTCCAACCGCTCCATCATTGCTTCAGCCATCAATCTTGATATTTATGAGTTCCATAGGTGTCCCCTTTGTTTTTTTGTAAATCTTTCCATTGAACTGTAAGTAGGTCATGAAGTAAGTACCAATTGGCTCTATAAGGTTTGGAACAGTGATTTTCGTATGATCGAAAATATTCTAATTGTTCCTTAAAAGAAGTATCCATTGTCCCCTTGGCTAGATTTGTTCCGATTGAAGTGAAAAGTAAAGTCAAATCAAAGGATACGAAAGCTTATTCATCGTCGTCTTTTTGTATTGAATATAGATTTAAAAATTGAATATTCTGCTAAAGTTGTGGCCCACGTAGTAAAACGTTCCGAAAAATCTTATTTCGATTTTGTGAACAGCTGGGATCATATCGACATATATTCTTATCCTTAGAATATTGTAAAATGCAGATTTGTGACGTTTTAGCATTTCTAAAAGTATATAAAAATGCTTTTCTCTTTTTATAGAGGACGTGCTCGTGAAAAAGTTGCGGACCCTCATAACTTAGAAGAGCGGTTTTATAAATGGGGTGTTAGACCAGAATGGTTGCAGCCCCAAAGAATTATTGATCATCGATCTGGCAAAGGAGGCCTAACTTGGTATCTTGTTAAATGGCGTGATCTACCTTACGACGAGTGTACGTGGGAAGGACGGGATGGAGAAGTTGTTGATTTAGATAAATATATCGAGGAGTATCGGACAATGCGGAAAGTTTTCATGGGGCATTTGTGTAGTACTGTTGGACCCGATGGCTCACTTTCAGTTGTGAGTTTATGCAAGAGACATAAACCTGGTCGTCGTTCTTCAAAAGAACTGGCTGCTGAGAATTTGAGCCTGAATTACTCAGAAAGTTGCCACCTGATAGATGTCTTACTGATTTAAAAAAGCAGTATACTACACAACCGAGCTTTCTTGATGAAACAAACGGACAATTACATGAATATCAACTAGAAGGTGTCAATTGGCTTCGATTTTCTTTTGGTAATAAAATTGACACGATCTTGGCTGATGAAATGGGTTTGGGAAAAACTATACAGACAATTGCTTTCCTATATTCACTCTACAAAGAAGGTCATTGTCGTGGTCCGTTCCTTGTTGCAGCACCTCTATCAACTATCATCAATTGGGAACGTGAATTTGAATTCTGGGCTCCAGATCTTTATGTAGTCTCTTACATTGGTGATAAAGATTCACGAACAGTTATAAGAGAACATGAATTCTCTTTTGATGAAGGTGCTGTTCGTGGTGGTGCGAAAGCGATGCGAATGAGAACTGGTACTTCAGTTAGGTTTCATGTACTGTTGACAAGCTATGAGTTAATTAGTATCGACCAAGCTTTGCTGGGGTCTATAGACTGGGAAGTTCTTGTTGTAGATGAAGCTCATCGTTTAAAAAATAACCAGTCAAAGTTTTTCCGTATCCTAACAACTTATAAAATCGCATACAAATTACTGCTAACAGGAACTCCTCTTCAAAATAACTTGGAAGAACTTTTCCACTTACTTCATTTTATGACACCTGAGAAATTCAATGATATGCAGGGTTTTCTGGATGAATTTGCTGATATATCAAAAGAAGAACAAGTAAAGAAGCTTCATGATATGCTTGGTCAACACTTGCTAAGGCGTCTTAAGGCTGACGTGTTACAAAATATGCCATCGAAAGGTGAATTCATCGTCAGAGTAGAACTCAGCCCTATGCAAAAGTGAGTTCCTTCCTATGCATGATTATCTATTACCATAATTATTTTCGTACTCATCTCCGGTCATAGCACATCGATGTTAGGATTTATATGCTCCAGATAGCTAAGATTGGTGCTTGGCAAATGAGAGTAAGTGTTAGCTAAATCATTTCATATGAATTTCAAAGCTTTTCATGTATTGCGTTACATTTCCGTAGTTCGAAATCTGTTGAAGTTCACTTCCATAGATTTACGCCGAACACCAACGGTGATCGAAGTGACATTATGTGCAGGTTTATGCTAATATCTAAAATGTGTGAAGTTAGCACTTCTACATTTAGGAGTTACTGATTAACCATGAAACTTGGTTTCTCTGTTAGCCATATTAGGAAGTTATTTTCATTTTCAGTAATGATGGGAAAAAAGTGTTCATGGTTGAGAAACCAGTATTATTTACCGAATCCTGTATGAACCTAGTGGTTTATACTTAAGATCAGATTACTAGTACTCACTGTTAAGTTTCGTTGGCAAGCTACCACTCCTTACATAGAACAGAATCCAAGTTGCAATCAAAAGTGTATGCTAACGTCTGATTAGTTGTAAAAGTTGTACAGATGAAAACTTCGTCGGTATACACTCAAAAGACAAAAATGTAAAATAGGTTTTCAGAATGGATGAAATAAACTAGGTATTGAAGCATATCAATAATTCTAGTCCATATGTTATCTTGCAACAAATACACTTTGTTGAAATGGGTGACATCGACAGTAAATAATCTACCACTATTAGTGTGAGGTTGCTGAAGCTCAGTAACTTTATTCACTCTAAAAATTTTCTACTATTATTTTGAACAGCAGTGAACGATGAAAAAGTAGTATCCTTACGACTGTTGTAGTAGCTCGGTACTTTTATTGCAAACTGATGTGTCTGACGACAGCATATGATGAAACTCGTAGGTCGTATGCTGTGGAATAAGTGGATAAAACACTGTACATTTTACTTGCGGGAGTAGATAAACTGCCATTACCAACCCTTTGATTGCCCACCACCTAGTGATAGTTTTCAACACGACTAGTTGTGATACTGAATAACTCTCCTGAAAATATTTTTCCACTTAAGATAGGCAAACATAAGTCTTGTTTAGTAATTTACACACTACTGAGATCTCACTTTGTTCGCGATTAGCATGCATAAATGTTGTATATGCTATTTATAATTTTAGGGTGGAGTATATTTTCTAGTGTAGCAAAAGTCCATATCTGCAATAACTGTTACTCTTAAACCACTGAAACTTGATGTATCTGATCGCCTATATCAGTTGCTACTATTTTGTAGCGAATGAAATCGATTTGTCCATAGTGAAAACCGGAGTGACACTAATCACATATGGTATTTGCCGTGTTACTTATGAACATCATGCATATTGTAATTTAATATTTTCACCTCTGTACTGTCTAAAGATTGGTCTCCTCAGCTAAAGAATGTGTGTCTATAACTGCCTGCATACTGCCGTGAAGCATAGCATCTTAAAGTGATGCACTTTTGTGATAGGTTCTCTCTCTCTCTCTCTCCATCTGTCCGTTTGTCCGTAACTGCATGAAAAGTATTTACAGTTATTTGTAGTCTCTGATTCTAGTTACAATAGATAATTATTATCAACTTTTACTGAGGTTACAGAAAATATCTTCGAATTTGATCACGGTTTCAGTATATCGTTTGACCAGGTTTTGAATCACTGACTCACTACGGCGTAGCAACTTTTGATAAGCTTTCACTTAAAATCCAGCTATATTCATATGTATGTGTCTTTGGTACTGCTTACTGTCATTTTTTCCCCTTTGCTTTATGAATAATGTAATGGTATGAATGTGAAAAAATCTATTAACGTTTTCTTTGTTCTTGTGTGAAGGCGTTACTACAAGTTTATACTTACTCGTAACTTTGAGGCATTAAGCTGTCGCAGTGGAGGCTCACAAGTTTCTCTGATCAATATTATGATGGACCTTAAAAAGTGTTGCAATCATCCATTCCTTTTCCCGTCTGCTGCAGAAGAGGCACAACGTATGCCCAATGGTGCTTATGAGGGTGTCGGGCTTCGGAAAGGTTCTGGCAAATTGGAACTGATGACCAAAATGTTACGCAAACTGTATGAGACAAAACATCGAGTATTGATTTTCTCTCAAATGACGAAGATGCTTGATCTCTTAGAAGACTTTTTAGATTCTGAAGGTTATAAGTTTGAAAGAATTGATGGTGCCGTTACTGGACAGCTTCGTCAGGATGCTATAGATCGTTTCAATGCTCCAGATTCACCCTCATTCGCATTTTTATTATCCACTAGGGCTGGTGGTTTAGGCATAAACTTAGCTTCTGCAGACACAGTCATCATATATGATTCAGATTGGAATCCACATAACGATATCCAAGCATTTTCCCGCGCCCATCGTATAGGTCAGTCTAATAAGGTAAGTTGATACTGATCGACGTGTAATTTTGTAGTCAATCACTACTGCGTCTCATGATACTGGCTCACTGTTTTCAAATTGCTCATTGGTTACATGTGTCTGCATTCATTTTCTTTTAAAATTAATACATAATGCATAAAATGCACTTCATTTTCTCTTGCGTATATAAAAGGAAATGTACGCCAAGTCTGAATGTTAGTTGTAATTGACTGTATAAATAATGCCGTTAGATGTGATTATCAAAGATTCTGTTGTCTGTAAGATCTTTTGTTATTTTTGTTAAGAACGAGGAATCGTCTCCAGCTCTAATTATCATTTTCGTATGGATGATAAAAATAATTTTAAAAATGCAATCACCAGCCTTGTGCACACTTGTGCATGAACCACAACTATCGAGTGTGGGCTAATGATACTAACTGGCCGGCCAAACCTCGGCAGTTGAACCGGGGTTCGAACCCGTGACCCACAGGTTGAAAGTCAACTACATAAACCAATAAGCCACAGCTTCACATTTTTGGCAAAGGTTATGTAGTAAAAGATAGAAATCTGAGCAAATACGTGTTTTACCGTTATTTCAACACTGAAAGCACATAAATCCCGATTCATTTCACGACATCTAAGATGTTTATTGAATCAGGAAATTAACATGTTTAAAAGGCTGTTTATCCTCCCAATGTTAGATGAAATAGAAACAGAATAGATGTGAAAGTAGATTTACAAAAAGAATTATATACCAGCTCGTTGAATCAATCTGAAAGTGAATTACGAAAACATTAAGTTGGTAGTGTTTTAAAGAATAGAAAGAGATTGTATATTTTCTCTGCATACCTAACCTTAATTCTGGCCTCGTGAATCTGACAGATATATGTCCTCAACAGTTTTCATAATAGAAATTCTTACTACCAGTTGCAAATTTCTCCATACCCTGTGGCCTACCGAAAAGCAAATTTGTCAAATGCTCTATGAAAAGTACCTATTATAGATATATGGGTTTCACTTCCTATTGCATTAGTCACTTTAAGGTATATTAGTTCTAACATTCGAAAGACACCTTCGAAGTGCAATGAACTGATTAATTCATAGTGAGATTTACGTAAGGGAAATCCCTCCACCATTGATGGTAAAATGAATCTGAGTGTGGTCATTGTCATAAACACACTTGAATAGTTTTGAATTCTGTAATATTTTCAGTCATGCAATTTTTCGTAAAGTTTCAGGAATATCTACTTTCACATGATTAAAACTAATCTTTTCCCTCCTTGCAATTCAGGCGACAAGCGAACAATGTGATAGCAGCTCAAACGCTTTATAAAAAAATGCATAATATTTTCTACATATAATTACAACTTACCTGTAAATACAGATCTTAGTAGGTTGGTGGATAAGTAACGTAGATAGTTCAATCAGGCATTACTTGTAAGATTGTTTATTTGTTAAAGCACATACTGATACAACATTATTTACTGGATGACGTTTTGAGCAGCACTTATTCTTCTTATTCATATCATATGCACTGAAGTTACCCTATTTCTTTTAGTGGCGATTTCGATTTCAATGGTTTCTAAGAAAAATTCTAGACGGTAGAGTCATCAGTAAGCATATCTTCACTTACTTCTACTTGGCTAACCGACTAGTTTAGTTTTTCTTACCAAAATATGCATATCTGACGACACAATTCAGGAACCGTTGCACTTAGTTGTTGATTTCTAATACGTTTATTTAACAACTTAAAGCATGAGGATGTCCCTAAGTTTTGCACAGAATTTAATAGATGCATACGTATGTTATTGGCATATCCCATAAGTCGACTGACATCGAATGTTGTTATTCGTAATTTTTGTATCTCAAAGTTTTCGTTCTGCTCCTTTTTTGGTTTACTTGTTTCCAATTCCCTGACAAACACAATTACTTATGAATGCATGGTTATTTTAGGTCATGATTTATCGATTCGTCACTCGTGGGACAGTTGAAGAGCGTGTCACACAAGTAGCAAAGAAAAAAATGATGTTAACTCATTTGGTTGTTCGTCCTGGATTAGGTGGTAAAGGATCATGTCAAATGTCCAAAAAGGAGCTTGATGATATTCTTAAGTTTGGAACGGAGGATTTATTCAAAGAAGGCGAAGAGAACAGTAAGTCTTCGAATTGTACGTTTCCTTCATTTTCATACAACCATGAGATTACGCTTTGTCACTAATGGTAAGTTAGCTAATGTAACCTGCATGCTTGATGTGAAGTTAGAACTTCGAGATTGATAAAGTATGATTCCATGTTGATGTATGTGTAGCATTTGTCATACAGAGGCGCGTTCTTTGCGGCTGTGTTTATGAGTATAGGCAATAGAATGTGTTCGAAATGTCCACATTTATGACAAGGTAGCTAATATAACCAGAAAACTTTAATTTTGTAGCTATGAAAACCATAAATTTTCTGGAACCTTATCCAGTAAGTAACACAGTGCAGCACAATATTGCATCATTTAGTGGACGCATTACAAAATCTGATCAACGTATTTCGATAAGTGCCTAGTCCTAAGCAATACATCGGCTACCTGCCAGTGTCTAACCCGTGAGAGAAATGATGTTTCACTGTGTAGAAAACCGGTCGTATTCACTAAGTGTTTTTGGATATTTACGTGTAAAGGCCGATTATATACCTAACACCCATTCTAAGTTGTATTTTTCTGAGAGAGGGACATATAGAACAACACGAAGCCTAAAATAAAATGGGCCAAGTAACAGTAACCTACTCATCAGCTCTGTTACAGCTTCCGTTGCAAATAAAGCAGTCACTTCTGTCTATAATCAAGTGACGTATCAATACAAATCGGTTCTAGATGAGTTTTTGCCTGTAGTGTGGAGAACACATGCTCAACTTCCTGAGATTTTTGCTCAATATGTCCAGAAGGTCCCGCGCCTCGTCATTGCAGTGAATTAGACAAGAATGTATCATCTTTTACTCTGAATCAACCTTAAGCTTCTCTCTGATGAACTATTCGTCAATAGGAGGGATTAAACAGACACCTCCATTTGTACGCTTTTAACAAGAGGGAACAGAAATGGCGATATTTGACCATTATGATTCAATTTTCTGGCTTTTTTCTTGCTATAAACAACTACAGGTATAAATTGGTTTAAGGAGATGACAAGTTTTAGCAACGTTTCAAAAAATCTTTTCGGACATTTCGTTAGGGACAGACTGTGCTTTAAAGCTTGTCGACTGATGGATTCGAACCCTACCTTCAGACCAAAAAATGAAGTGAGTTTGGAACGCCGAGAAGTTTATTTGGACCTGAGAATCTGATGAGAAGCAAGTATGTATTCCATACTCACTCTGCATCCTCATCGGAGACCTTGGTTTTACTGAGTTTACCGCTTTCCGATTTAGACCATCAATGTCGAGTTGAGTAAGAGTTGGGTGTCCAACGTCTAGTTCGACTGAATAAATCTGTAAAGACTAGGAAGGATCATGAAACTAGTCGGTTTCGATTCGTAAACCCCGTCTACCGTAGTTCGGATGATGCAAAAGATTAATTCTACGAGCTGTCAACTTTGCTATGGAAACCAAAATGTTTATATGTAGTCATAGTAACGGGTGACTTAAACGCTCAAGGAGAGAAGCTGAGCCAATCAGAAAGGCACCTCGCAGGTATCTATGGAATCCCATGTCAATGAACCGACAACGGTGATCGTCTGTTGGAATTTCGCTCCGATAATCATCTTTTTTCGACCAGCACTAACTTTTGGCGTAAGAAGAAGGAGATACTATCTCACATGGTGTCCACTGACATCAAACGAACAATGAACACAGATATATCACATTACTATAGGCCATGGTCGGAGCATATTAGTGGGGGATTGTCGCTTTTTCTGGAGTACTAGTTTGCACTCGGACCATGCGGTAGTGCGGGCTCATGTGTCTGCGCTTTACTAAACGCAGAAAACTGGAGATAGTGAGGTACATCTGTACTGGATTTGTAGTGAGGACTTGTAGTAGGTATTTAGAGAGGGGTTAGCTAAACATTTATCTGAACATGAGAGGAATGCTCATTGTGAGGGAACGTGGTTTGCTATTAAGTCTGGTGTAGAAACAGCGGAAAAACAGTTGGTAATCTACCCTTGAGGTTATGAAACTTCATTGGATTTCCGTGACTTCATCCGAACAGATTGATGCGAAAAGACTGATACTGTGTGGCTGTGATCAGGATGAAGAGCAAAAGCAACTGAAGTATAAATCTACTGACAGTCTTGGCGTCGATGGCTATCAGTGGTGGGTGACGAAAGCGAAAAAAAGAGAGATCGAGAGAAGATATCAGCGTTGGGTAAGACTCGCCAACTATTTAGGCTTATTAAGGATACCGGCAAGAAGAAAACTCTGACGAGTGAAACCATGAGTGACGAGGATGGAAGGCTGATAACCTCCTAGGAAGGTGGATAGGACATTGGACAGAACACTTTGAAGCCTAGTTGAACTGGACTTCAGCAACGCTCCAGTTGCCTAACATACAGTCGGAACCTGAACAGTAGTACGTAGATGTCGACCCTCCAATTCTCCTTGAAGTTGAAAAGTGTGTAGGGAGCCTGGTACGATAGAAAGCAGCAGGAGATGACAATGTGTCACTTGAAGTTTTCAAGGATGGTGTTATGAAATTGCTGCTTAAAATGACGGAGGTACTAGGAAGTGTGTGTGTGTGTGTGTGGAGACCAGAGGTAGTGCGGTCAGACTGGATGTACTTCACTGGTCATCACAGTCTATGTGAAGTGGGCGAAATCTTCCAGTGATAACCATAGGTGTATCAGTCTGACTAATATGTGTACAAGATCCTGGGGTCCATATTTATCATCGGATGCCTAACTGTAGCTGAAGAAGAGGAAACTCGATAGAAGTAGGTAGATTTCATAGAGAGCTGGTCGAGGGTGTATCGGTAATTTTTTTCATTCTCCAGTAGGTTGTGGAACACGGGTACACTTGGTGACCAGTGGCTGACACTTTGCATATTTGTTGAGGTGAATGTGGGATTTGAATGTGTCGATGGTGAGTTGTTGTGTCTGTGTTTAACTGTGAATGGAGTAGCGAGCAAGTGTATGACACTAATCAAAGCCGTCTACTCGAGGTCAGGCAGTCGTGTTGTCTTGCGAACTGAGGACAACTGATGGTGTCTGTGAGGTATGTCGACTGTGACGGTCGCTATTTAATTTCGTCGTAACCTTCGATATGTCTAACTTCGAAGTGATTGTTCTACTCTCTGTAGGGACTCTGGTTGACTTGGAGTATGTATTTACCGTTAATTCTGTAGCGTACTAAAGATGGTACCAAGTTACGGTGAAAATCCTTTGCATGTTTTGTTATGTACTCATAAACTTGGTCCTGAAATCCAAATTTGGCTTTGTATTCGGAAACGATCGCAGAGACTTATCGGCTGCTTATTTCATGCACATAAACTGTCGTTTCAAAACTCTCTCCATTACCGAGGTTTGGGTAATCAGATGGTGTTACTGAGTTGCGCATCATAAATGACAGCATTTGTTTTCCGAGTTGTATTACTTGCTGTGTAACCATTAAGTCATATACTGGTTGAGACTAGGCAAAGTCTTTTCAACTAATCAATCGCCACTTGCCCTGTTAATCTTTTTACAAATATTATATTTGAATGATGGTCTGCTTATTCTATTCTACATTCATTAGTGGAGGATGAACACACTATCGTGTATGATGATGCTGCTATTGAACGCTTGTTGGACCGTAGTCAACAGGGTTTAGAAGAGAAGGCTTTGGAAATGAACGATTACCTGACATCATTTAAAGTGGCTCATTATGAAAAGAAAGGGGTTATTGAGGAAGACGAAGAGGAATCAGAAGATGACGATGAAAATCGTGAAGTAATTTTTCTTTAAATGTAGCTGTTTATGTTTCCTGTTTTCATGATTATCGTCATGAGGTGTTTCTAAGATGCATTAACTTCTTTGTGAAGGGTCAGGTGTAAATCTCCATGTCTATCAGGATGAAGATACTTATCAACACGTGTATAGATAATTATTTACCTTATTATTATTGTTATTATTATTATTATTCGAAGTGCATGAATTTGATTCACCAAGCGCAAATAAAAAGTAACATTTTAAGGATTAATGTATCATAAGTAAATTTTTAATGCAAAGTTTACACACAATGATAAGTTTTTATTGTGGTAATATTCCGAACATAATAAAAACTTATCATTGTGTGTAAAATTTCCATTAAAGATTTACTTATGATACACTAATCTATTCCACAATGCACAAACTGTTCATTGATATACATTTCAAGGATGTGTAAGCGGAGAACTCAAATATTTTATTGTTGGTCGTTTATGGGTAGTTAAATCGGAACAAGAAAGTGTTTTGTTTTCCTTCTCAGTTCTGTCTAATTTCTTGGATTATTAAAATAGATTCATCATTACCGTCAGTTTCGAATTACTGAGTCACACGATACCTGCATCTACATACAGAAGGTTGGAGTGGACCAGTAGATATCAAGCATCTGAGGATGGTGATTGTTTTAGCGTGAGAACCCCTTAGAAAAACATATCTGCTGCATCCAAGAAATGAGAATTAGGTATTGTAAAAGCGATTGCGTTATGTACAACTTTTTTGCAATCGAACTGTCATAAAGCTGCAACTCTAAAAGATGACATTTCAGCATAACTAAAAGTGCCAAAGCTTTGTAAACGTGATCTTTTGTTGCTAGACATATGTTACAGTAACTAGGAAGATGTTTCTGAGTGGCATACTCCACCCCAGATTTCTTCATATTGAAGTTGACTTCATCCTAGAAAATCATATCACTACTTGTATGTATACCGGCCATTGGATTATGCGTTATGGGTTCACCACCTCAAACCGGTGGTAAACAAACCGTGACTAGTTTTTTATTCAATAAACTTCTGTGGTTCCGTGCATCTGCATTATAGAGGCCGGTAAGTCTCTTGAGTAACAAGCTTATACCGTTTTCATGTATATCTGCTGGGGTTACCCTCCAGAAATACTAGTTGAGCAGATTTTTACTTCAATTCATTAAGGTCAGTGAATTTCATGTTTCACAGAACGGAGAACAGTTCTTCGCGATGGATTAAAGGTGATAGTGATGTAATTAGTTGTAACAAGTGTTAATCTGCAGTATGTTATAGCGTTCAAGCCGCGATACACAACTAATATATGACTAGATCTGTAACTATTCACGAGTCAGCTTGATCTGGCTTATGCACATTCTTTTTCGTAAGGTAACAGGCAACATTCTATATAAGGTTAATTGCATACCTGCACTCTCATGATCTTTTATAGTTAGTAGTCTTATTCTACATTAATTGTAACACCATATTTATTAGAAAATCGAGCAACAGACATTCTCTTTCACCTTATCGCTTTCATGAGAAGTAACAATATAGTACTAAGATAATATTACTGGTCTACCCTGTCCATACTTGTGTACCAGGATAATTCTCACGTGTGACGGCTTATACTATTACTTGATTAGTTGAACCGTGGTAGGTGTGAGGGGGGGGGGGTAGAAACTGAAAGCAAGGTCAGTTGCTCGAGTCAGTGAATCAGAGCTGCACAACAAAAACGGTAGATTAAATCTTTGAAGCAGAGGTTTGAAAAGCAGCAAAAATCCCTCGTTTCTCTAGTTATTTTACAGAGTTACTTTGTCTAATTTAAACAATGTCACCTAACCCAAAGGTATCAAGGAAGGCAGAATTCAATCAGTTCTGTACTAGAATCACCTATCATGTGAATTTACCACTCGAACTGATCAAGATCGTGCACCGGCTCATTCATTTCCTGCTTCACACTAGTCAGGGATAATAATACTAATGATAATATTTGTGCTTTATTCCGAACCATCGTCTTACTAACAGCATGTTGCAAAATTTACTCGTGAAACATTTCTCATATATTTTAACAATAATATCAGTTTTTTATGTTGTCGGTATGAGTCTTAGTAGGAGGCAGGTAAATCCAGCTAAAAAATGCACGTCTTGAATTCCACTGCTAACCACTACCTATTATCACCATGATAATAGTAGCTAACAATATAAAAAGTTACATAATTAGATATGCCGGTTGTTTTTACCATTGTTTTCTGGTTGTTGATGTTTGTTTCTTTTGTCCATTTACCGTAATAAAACATTGGGATGTGTTTATTTCAGGTGATCAAACAAGAACTTGATCCGGCGGATCCGACTTATTGGGAGAAGTTATTGCGTCATCACTTTGAACAGGCACAAGAGGATCAGGCTCGAGCTCTTGGCAAAGGTAAACGAGTTCGGAAACAAGTAAACTATTCAACAACACAAGAAGAAGAGGAGGAATGGAATCAGACCATGACCGATAATGACAGTGACTTTTCCAACAAGGTTAGTCGATAAATGCAAATATTTTGTTCGGAAGTGATAGCATTCATGGATTTTCATTTCAGATAAAGTGAAACTTGATCGCTGCCCATTTCTTCGGGTATTTTCGAAATTTGATTGAATGCCTCAAGTTGTTATAGGTGATCTGGAATTATCCACTGCATTCGTCTTCCATTTATACTGTCTTATATGTTTATTCCTAACCGCTGGCTATTAGACTAAGGTTTCTATGGATGGTGGCTAGCAGTGGAATTCGGGATGTGCGTCTCGTCCTATTTGGGACTCATCGGCTGGATCTACATGCCTCCCAGTGAACGATGTTGTTCCCATCGGTACTCGAACCCAGGACCGATCGCTTCAAACGCCAGGGCGTTATCCACTAGACCACTATCTACTATCTATGCATCTGTTTTCAGTACACCAGAAGCTTGCACTCATTGACGTAGCCCATTCGACTTCTCGATATTGTTGAGTTTCATGATTTAAGTCTAGCTAATCGTGTTTTAGTTTCTGTCTCCTATTCACACTTTCATTCATTCGAAATGTTTTGAAGTTAGACATGGCGTATTCTTTAGTTACTTCAGCGAAACATTCTTACCAGTAATTTTGCTCAGTATTATCACCCTACACTTTGCTACAGTATAGTTTGTTGGCTATTGAAATCCAATCAGTCTATGAAAGTTATGCCTTCGAAAGTGAATTAATGACATTGTAGGTGAAATTGCGATAATGACCATTACATATGAAGTTAATATTAAGTAAATTTTATTTAGATATATGCTTCAGATTTTGTTGGTCTACGAAAGATATCTGTCGATGGTGGCTCGCTGAAGACTTCAAGAATTTAACTATATTTGCCTTCTTGAAATCACTGTTGCGTGTTGGACTTATCGCGTAGGCGATAGGGGACTTAGATACACAGTCATTAAGATAAATCACTGGAAAATAGATTGAAAAATAATGAAGACCTTTTGAAACACACGTGATTCCCTTAAATTCCATTATTATTCAGCTTTTCATTTTATTTTTCTATATTATCGTCTCTATCTAGTGCATTTCACGGTGCTTTTCTTGCGCTGGAATTCTTACTAAAGACAAAACAAATAAACGATTACTTCAGATAAAGTGACTGGAAATACATGCTATCTACGGTGTTAGATGGTACACAATTAGGTTGATAAATATTCGAAGGCATAGCATCGGTTCATAAAGTCACTAACCGTTGTTCTGAGCTGGTAGTGAAGTTAGACTTCTTCGTTTGATTTTGCTAGACACTCAAAACAGGCTATTAGAAATAATTAGAAGACAATTTAACACGATCGATTGCAATAATATAGATTATTGATGTCCTTTCTTTATCTTAATAGAATTACCATGCATCCTTAATCCATTCATCCCTTTTTATTCTACCTTACGGCTTTTTTATGACTTCCTATTTAATTCTTACATTCATTTCTACCCTGATATGTTAGTGGGAAGCATGGCGACTTAAATAGATGTCGTTATTCCCGGTTCCGCTTTTGTATGTCTGTCAAACATGGTGAGTGAAACTTTCATTGTAGAAGATATGAATGTATAGTTTTCTAAAGGCAATTGCAGAAGAAGGATCAACTCTATCGACTATCAGTTCATATAAAGACGTTCATAAGAGACAAGCCACTACATTTATTAGTCGCTGGCAGGTAACCAGTACCATCTTGCCTAACTGATATGAATCTGTTCATAAATCTTCTAGTGTGATCAGTTCTCTTGAGATTGTGGACACATTTTGCTGACTATTGCGAACAAATGGACGGTGTAAGACCGATGCCTACAGATCCCCTCTATTCGTCTGGTAGACAAGACTTTAAGTAGTTCTTCAACTGTTGTAAGAAATCTCATACTTCTGAATCCATCTTCAGTTTTTTTGACACGATGGCCGATGAGTGTTTTATAAATATTTCTGCGACTTGAGTGTTTCAAGTTTTTTCGGGTTATTGCTTCATATCATAATGATTGATTTTTTGCTATGGATAATCATGAAAACAAGGATGAAGATGACGACGAATATGATGAGCGTACAGGTGCAGCGGGTGGTGATGTTCCTGTTATGAGCCGTCGCACTCGACGTGAGCGTGAGGGGAAAATGCCTCCACTTTTATCGCGTGTTAACGGTCAGATAGAAGTCCTTGGCTTTAATGCTCGCCAGCGTCGTTCATTTCTCAATGCTATCATGCGGTGAGTTCCATCTATGCGTGAATTTATTGAAATACGTTTTGTAGCTTAATATCTGCAGTGTGTGGTAGATTGTAGTTCCATTTCATTTTACGTATCAGGTAAAGGTTAAATGGGATTCATGTAATCGCTTCTTTATCCTTGTTCGGTTGTCTTTTGTACCTGCTTTCTCACTACTGATCAACCTCTAATCTCTCAGCTGTGGGGTTTCATCTTTCATGGTGAGCTAATTCAAATGATGATGTTTACCGCTGCTACCAAGCGACTACCACTTGTTCATTTTCCTGCTGAACATTCCATAAACTACAGAGCTTCAAGGATGTAACTAGAAAGTTTACACCTGAGAGTTCTCACGTATTTAGCACCTTACTTTCATATGATGGAGTGATTCTACCTACTTTCTCCCTTCCAACTCGAAATCTGACTTATGCGGCTTGAAAACCGCTCTTCCCTTGTGATATTGTATAACTGATAAATATGCACATTGGAAAGATGAATTTATGGAAAACTGTGTGTTTACGATACATATTTCATTCAACTGCATCATAACAATAAATGAAGAATTCTTTCGACTCACTTTGGTTATTTGACTTTCTCAGCCTTCTAGGATCGTAGAATTTAGCAGCAACACGCTCTATCAGAAAATGCTTTCCAGCAAAACTATGCAATCCACTAGTTGAGTCTACTTTTCGATATTTTATACACAAGTACTTTGAAACCAGTGAACTTTGAAAACGGAGCGACATTTTCCAAACTGTTGATCACTTTCGACCTATATTGTATTACAAGTTGATACTAATCACAGAGTGATGTCGTCTGGGGAACCAGTGAATACTAGACAACCGTGGCAACATGTGAGCACTAGACAACTGTTTCGTCCTAGTATGGGACCCCAACAGTGCGCATCCACGACCCCGTTATGGATCGAACTCAAGACTTTCAGGTTTTGCGGAGAACGCTTTAGCCGCCCATGCACTGGGTCGGAGTTCAATGGTCCACAGTTTGCTATTTCTGTCAGTTCGCGATATAATGCAACTATCCACCAAAGTTTTTGGTTAGCATCCGCTTAACTTCCTATTGTGTGACACCACAAGTCATGCCATCTCACTAGAACTTCAGGATATCCATCTCGAAGCACGTCATTAATTAATGCTGGACAATAATTTAGTTAGAGGTTTAGAGAGATATTATTCCAAGTTAGTATTCCTTATGAAGTGAGAGCGAGGGAGAGCAGAAAAATCTGAACTGAGGGAACGTGTGTACGTTTGATCACTTGCAAAAAAGAGCCGCGCGTTTTGTGTGAATCCATGACAAGTATTATTCCCTCACGAGATACAAGAAAAGTAGGCTGTTGATATCTTTTATGAACTGCAAGTATTTAGATCGGTATTTATCCATTTTCTAAGGAATAGACGTTTTTCTATCTGAGTTGAGGAAAGTTTCCTAAACCTTACATTGTATATTGCGTAATCGTTTGAAGGGATTTCTCAATGAAGGCATGAAAATTAAATCTGCAGGAGATTTATTTATTGTCCTTTTGCTGGAAGGGATATCAGAGTTAAGCCTAGGTGAATGAAACACTAAACTAATAGATGTGTGAATTTCTTTCCAAGAAATTCGAAACCAAAACGATCAAATGATTCTCCAACAATTAAACCAAACACTCGAGTTACGCGTAAAATCGGAAATGCAGGATTTGCCTTAAGTACGGTATTGTAATAACAAACAAAATGACTTCGGTTAGTCAGGCGTTTTTGGGCTTATCTTCACCAAAAGCATCATTGAAGAAGTGCGTCAATATTATAGAGACAGCAGAGTTGTTTCCAAAGCTAACTATAGGATGGTATGAAAACCCACAGATCCTCAGGGTAAGGTGAAAAGCACGATGCAAACAAACGTTCAAAGGAAGTTACGGCATCAGGGGAATAACCAATGTGAGGACAAAATATCCTGGGATGTCAAAAAAAACGAACAAATGATTATAACCGAAATGAACAGTTGCGGATAATGTAACATTGTTGAACATGAATTACACTACTCATTATTAGTAAGTAGCACAACGCTATATGCATGAAAGTTTAAGATTATAGAGTGAAAATGGAAGGAAATTAGAATGCAGTATAAAAAGAATTAACAAGATGTACTATACATACCGTGTATCTTGATAACTTACATTTTATATGTACACATCTCATGTAGTTTAATCGTTATTTGCAGAAAAGTTTATTGAAGTCGGTAGACCCGATGATGTGCATTTTATTATGCAGCATCTCCAAGACAGCTTCGATAGTTTTAGTAATTGAAGTATTTCCGATACGTAAGCATCTTGAAGTTAGATGGACGTTGAATATCGCCTAGTAATGGATCACTTGAAGTGTCTTTTCATCCAAGTAACATACATAAAGTATATCATTTCCAACCGGATAAATATTGTCTCAAAGAAGAATTCAATATAGGTTCACAATCAAGGAAAACAAAAAGATAAACATGATTGAGAGGGCCTTGTCCGTTATCTCGTTTTGGGACGCCAGATTGCTATACACTCTTAAATTTGTATAGCTTTACCTGCCGTTTTACCCATGACATTGGAATAACCTACATGGCTGTTTTCACACCGTTACTAGTTTTCCTTCTGTCTGCTCTCAAGGCTGAACTCTCATTGGTCGTTAACTATTTTTACCTAAATGTGGATTTAATGTTGTCAAGGCCATTTAGAAACGTATATATTCAGCATCAATGTCAGCTTTATTGACTGTTGTTGAAGCAATAAAAAAGCTCTCCATCAACGGTCTATCTTTTCTTGTCTTCTCGCTCGGTGGTATTGTTGTTGTGGTAGTTGACGTTCTAGTTTGCGTTTGGTCGATTTATTTACACGTTAGGTTCGTATCGTTCGTAGGTCTGCTTGACTGATATCGCTCGTAAACTGCTAAGTTGTGCAACCGATCATAGCACAGATAAGGTTTCTCTTCATTTTTAAAAATGCGTAGCTTGTTGTCTACCATGTTCTATTCTTACTGTTAAACCAATGCGAAAAATCATCATTGTGGACGAAAACCATCCAAATATTATGCAGGTTGAACATCTCATTTTTTGTCAGCTTTGTTATATGGTCATGAACGCTTTCTCAACCTGGATGACTTCATCTCTACTTTGAGATACAGGCGTCACCAGGGGAATTGTACTTGATCAAATCATTTCTGGTTGCAGGCTTGTTTGAATAAGAATTATGTACATCTGTATGTCTGTTTTGTTTACTCTGTGCATACCAATGAATTTATTTTTCACTGTTATTATCACCTTTATTGTGACCTGATTCACCAACCGGATTTCAATAACTGAATCAGTGTCAAATATCGATGTTGAATAATTCGTAAGTATAATTGTAAAGCCTGATGAGAAAATACTAAAAGTACTCATTTGCTTTAACCATGTTTCCCAATTCATACATCGTTACTGAAGCCCTATGTTTGTTCCACTAGGAACCCAAGGGACAAATGATAATAACAATAATTCATGCATCTTGAATAATATCTACTACTTTCTTGTTTAACTGAAAACTCATTATTATGCTCATCCAGTGAATTAAATTTGCCAGTTGAAAGCTATGTGTAAATGACGAGTCCTATTTATGTATTTATTTCTGCAAAATAATGGTACAGGTATGGACTGCCTCCAAGTGATCAACCGTGGATGGTTAGAGATTTGCGATGTAAAACTGATCGTGTGTTTCGAGCCTACATTTCCTTGTTTATGCGTCATCTTTGTGAACCAGAAACGGATAATTCCGAAAATTTCAGTGATGGTGTACCTCGTGAAGGTTTATCCACTCAACATGTTCTCAGTCGTATTGGAATAATGGCACTTGTCCGAAAGAAGGTAGAGTTTTATCTAATAGTTACATTTATATTAGACTAAAAATTAGTTTTAAGAGTTTTATTACGCTAAAAGACCCTGGATATATATATATATATATATATATATATATATATATATATATATATATAATATTGTTTCGATGTCATACTTTGCATTACAATCATCTATAGTTTCCTGCCTGGTTAACTAGTTACTAACCGGTCCTAAGCCCGGGTAAAGAGGGAAGGTTGGGCATACGGCTAACAACCCTACCCGTAAAACAAATCTAACCGCTAAAGAAACTTCAAAGCACAAACAAAATATAAATAATACTAACAAAATTATTCCTCGCTGCAATCGGAGAGACGAAAGGACGCCGGTTGGTGAAAACCTTCGGGAAGCCAATCGGCCGATGTGTCTACTCTCCCTTGATGAAAGCGTAAGTAAACGTGGGGACATGGAATGTCCGCACCATGTTTGAACCTATCAAGGCTGCCCAGATTGCAAACGAGATGAAGAGGTATCACATTGAAGTGCTTGGAATTTGCGAAAGCAGATGGAATGGGAGTGGACTCTACAAACTGTCAACTGGAGAATCAATAATCTACTCCAATATTGTCACCCAGACGACAACCACGAGCACACTGAGTTATGGAGTGGCTATCATGATGTCCCCAACAGCATCGAAGGCTCTCATGCAGTGGGAACCAATCTCCTCCACAATCACGATCATGACAGCAAGGTTCAACTCAAAAGGAAGGAAGGAAGGTCACAATCATACAATGCTACGCTATGCACCTACAAATAATGCAGAGCAAGAGAAAAAGGAGAAGTTCTACAGACAACTGCAATCAACACTGGACAAGACTCCACTCCAATTGGCGATATCAAAATTCTAATGCGTGGGTCGACATGAATGCCAAACTGGGAGGGGACAACACAGGAAGAGAACTAACCATGGGTCGAGAAGTGCTCGGTGAGGTGATGAACGAGAATGGAGGATTGTTTGCAGAGTCCTGTGCATTCAATGATTTGGTGATTGGAGGCGATGCAGTGTGTTCAAGCACAAGGATATCCACAAGCGAGCGACATGGATTTCACCAGACACCAGGACACACTAAAAATCAGATCGACTTTATCTCAATCTCAAGAAAGTGGAGATGGAGACGCAGTCTACTTGACACAATGTCAAGAAGAGGAGCAGATGTAGGTTCACACCACTCACTATCTAGTGCAAGCAACCTACCTTCCAAATCAAGTTGAAAGCCTCCAAGGAAGCTGGTGATAGACCACAGATCAAGTGCAACACTCAGAAACTGAAGGACGAAACTACAAAGGAAATCTTCACGCCAGTCAGCAATCAAGACAAAATGGGAGATATCGAGCAACATCTCTGAAGAAGCCTGTGTGGAAGAACACTGGAACTCTTTGGAAGAGATGTGGAAAGAAACCTGCATAACCGTATTAGGAAGGAAGAAGAAAGAAGACAAAGAGTGGAATGGATCACGACGGACACATGGAAGCTGATAGAGCAGGGAGAGGAGGATGGTGAAGCAGAAGATAAACCAGTGCAAGGATGAACGACGAGAAAAGGAACTGAGTACAACGTGTACAAAACACTACACTGGACAAAGAAGTGAAGAAGAGTGCACGCAAAGACAAGAGACACTTCCACAACACACTGGCAAGTGAAGCAGAACAGGCTGCAGGTAGGAGAGATAGAGACCTGACAACATTGTATCAAATAACCAGGTTACTCGCTGTCTGGGAAGAGATCAACGCAGACGAAACCAATAAAAGGTGATGACGGAAATGTAATTACGAAAGAAGAGAAACAAAGGAAACGATGGGCCGACCACTTCAAGAAGCTCTTGAATCGACCATCACAACCACCTGCACTTCGTCCAGAAATACCACCTGCAGCCCAGCCACAGAACTACAAGTGAACATAAATCCTCCAACAAAAGCGGAAGTCCTGATCACTATTAAGCTACGAAAGGGATTTCCAATAAACTACAGACATTTTTCAACAACTGCTTACGCTGGCTCGCTACTGAAGATCACATGGATTGCCAGAAAGAATAAGCAACATGGAGCTCTGGCTGGTGACGAACCAACAAAGAACCTATCATCCAACAAATATGCACTGGAAGGAAGTGGAGATGGATTGGGCATACACTGACAAGGTCGACTGGGGATATCACGTATCAGGCCCTCGAGTGGAACCCTGATGGGAAGCGACGAGTTGGGCATCCGAGGTGGTGACATGCAGAGATCGTGCGAGGAGGAAATTAGAGCTTGTGGGCTGTCGTGGAGCCATGTTCAAAGGATTTCAGAGAACAGAGAGCATTGGAGACGTGCTACTGAAGCCCTATGTCCCATTAGGAACCCAAGGGGCTTTTAATAATATAATACTAATAGTTTTCTGCAGACTGAAAGGTTGACTTCAAGATATAAGTTTTTGAACTTCTGCATAAGAAAAATAGTCGCAGGTCCCTTTTTTTATTTGGCAAGTAAAGATATATCCGACTATCTAGGAAGGGATGAGTATTCTGCGCCACCACCTGCCTCGACGTGCTGTGGTAGAGGACGTTGGATTGGGTTGGAGGAGGCTTCATGGTGGTCAGAACACGTCACGGTACAGTTGATAGAGTCTCTTACTGTTGGTATGAGTCGTGTGAAGCGATATAAAGTGGTTGGTTGTGGTTCCTGAAACGAAAGGAATGAGTGATTAAGGACTTGGTGACATGGCTGAAAATGGGTTGCGGTGGCGCAAATGTATTCACTCCTTGACGTTTTCTATAGCTTGAATATTCGCACTAACCTTTGTCTTCAGACTGTTTATTCTCTCACACAACATTGTCTACTTTGATATCCGTCATTCTCTATGTACATATTCTTTGTATACTGCTGTGAATTGTGGCAACGTGCACGGGTGTGCCTGTGTGCGAGGTTCTACGTTGACTTTGTCATTTCTCATTTTGTGGGTAAATATTTTGATGTAGTAAATCCTGTGATTTTCCAAATCTTTTATCGATTTCTTAAGCAATTACTTCTCTTTGTAAACTTCGCCACAACAATAAGACGTAATTTTTCTGAACCATGAAATGTATTTGCACGCCATTTCGAGTAATCTGGTCACACACGTACTTGTCGTAGGTATTTGTATGGAAATTCAATGAGATAAGGGATGAGAAGTGTTCAAAGTAGGAATGCTGAATTAAAGGCCATATAACAAGGAAATCAATTGTGCGAAAATAATAGTACATCGAACGTGATTTCAGCGTTGAATTAAACAAGGGGATTATTCAGTTTGCTTCTGAAGCCACTTTTGAATGTGCTCCGGGCCCCTCACTTTTATGGCTTTATGAGTCCTCTCTATGTGTATGTCACTGCACCTACATTTGAATTAGAATATGCAATAGGATGTGACGTTGTCATTCACATGCCGTAAGGTTTTTGGGGAAATATACAGGCTTGGTGGTTTCCGTTAGTCGAACCCTAGCTGGATACTTAGTGTTTCTAGCAACAATGGTAAGCCTTTGTTTAAGGATTGAGCTATGAGAGTCACCTTTGTACGGAAGACTGATGTGGACATCCTTCTGGCGAAAGTGAAGATCGGGTTTTGGTGTACTGGCTACTTTGTGTTGGCTAGTATTCTTATATTCTCCTCTCTTATCTTTATGAATTTTCATATAAATATCTGTGACAAGTATGTCTGTGATCAGATTGTTCGAAATGTGTTGCCAAAATACATTAAACCGTTCAAACAGTTTACGTCTTCATATTGTTTTATCGAAGTTTATTGATTTCGTTTTTTTTGTAGACTCGAAGATATTATTGTCAGTATGTTAAACTACACCCTAAAAATGATTCTTTTCTGAGTTTTTTTCCTGTTGACTGATGAATGGAGTTATGGTGGCTTTCCAGAAGTTGCTTCTACCATAAAAATAACACACATCCTGAACTAACTGAAGCAGGATTGACTTTATGGCTAAAGTTATGGTAAATAGGCATTAAATTCGTCGTGTAAACAATTAAGGACGTTGATTATTTTCATGAAGTGTAGCAATTAGGACGTTTGCGCACTAATGCTAGGTCTTATGTTGATGATGTCATACTGCCTGCAGGGCACTTCTTGGTTCCCCTTTCGCAAAAGGTTTGCAATTTAATTAGATGGAAACATGGTACACCTCTGGTTTCCAGGGTAATTCAACAATGAGTCTCATGTAAACTATGCAGTAGATTGATATCTATCTCAAATGAAGTACCAGTGTCCGGGTAACGCTTTCATAATTAATTCAGATTTATCACAATCTCTAGGTGTTTAAATGTTGTGTGATAAATTATTTCAAGTAATTAGGTTTTTTTTATGAATCTGATAATAGGTTCAAGAATTCGAGAAGATTAATGGTCATTGGAGCATGCCAGATTTAGCACCGAAACCTGTAAATAACGATCTGGAACTGCCGAAAACGGAAGATCCCATTGAAGTGTCTACTAAAATTGAAGATACGGAAAGTTGCTGTGTAACTACAGAATTGAACGATAAACAGTCAGTGCTCAGTGATAGTGTTCTGCTTGGAAAAGAGAAAGCTCTTAACGCAAAAATAAGCAACGCAGGAGATGAATCGTGCTTGGCAGATGATGCCTCCAAGGCAAGCGATAAAACTGATCCTATGGAGATCGATGAAGTACGCGTAGCTGTTGGACAAAATAAGGTGACAGATGATACGTCTACAAATCCTAAGGTACCTTTTTATGCAGTTTACTTATATCTATCCGTGTATCATCCTACTTTTGTTGACTTGCAATTTCCGTGCTTTTGAACTACTGGTGTATGTTGTTCTCACTCTTCATTGTCGCACTTCAGAACTGCATTGATTTCCTGAATTAATGTATTCACTTTAGATCTAGTCTGCGTTCGACTGAATTAAGTATTTTGACAAGTACTATGCAAATAGAAAAGACTCATATTTCTAGTCAGGGACCACTGATTTTCTAAATAAAGCTACCTACTATGATAATGAAATCTCCATCATGACTAAGGAGCTAACAAAACAATTACTTCATTATCACCTGTGGCACGTTTTTTGAACATAAATTCATGCACGTCATTACGTTTGATTTTTAAAACTGACTGATTCCAGCTAGCTTTCACTACGAAAAATAAATATAAATTGATTGATTGACAGTCTTGGCGTCGATGGCTATCAGTGGTGGGTGACGAAAGCGAAAAAAAGAGAGATCGAGAGAAGATATCAGCGTTGGTAAGACTCGCCAACTATTTAGGCTTATTAAGGATACCGGCAAGAAGAAAACTCTGACGAGTGAAACCATGAGTGACGAGGATGGAAGGCTGATAACCTCCTAGGAAGGTGGATAGGACATTGGACAGAACACTTTGAAGCCTAGTTGAACTGGACTTCAGCAACGCTCCAGTTGCCTAACATACAGTCGGAACCTGAACAGTAGTACGTAGATGTCGACCCTCCAATTCTCCTTGAAGTTGAAAAGTGTGTAGGGAGCCTAGTACGATAGAAAGCAGCAGGAGATGACAATGTGTCACTTGAAGTTTTCAAGGATGGTGTTATGAAATTGCTGCTTAAAATGACGGAGGTACTAGGAAGTGTGTGTGTGTGTGTGGAGACCAGAGGTAGTGCGGTCAGACTGGATGTACTTCACTGGTCATCACAGTCTATGTGAAGTGGGCGAAATCTTCCAGTGATAACCATAGGTGTATCAGTTGACTAATATGTGTACAAGATCCTGGGGTCCATATTTATCTCGGATTCCTAACTGTAGCTGAAGAAGAGGAAACTCGATAGAAGTAGGTAGATTTCATAGAGAGCTGGTCGAGGGTGTATCGGTAATTTTTTTCATTCTTCAGTAGGTTGTGGAACACGGGTACACTTGGTGACCAGTGGCTGACACTTTGCATATTTGTTGAGGTGAATGTGGGATTTGAATCTATTTTGATATCCATCATTCTCTATGCACATGTTCTTTGTATACTGCTGTGAATTGTGGCAACTTGTACGGATGTACCTGTGTGCGAGGTTCTACGTTTATTGTCTATATAACACCAAATTGAATATGGAGCTTATGGATGGATTCCTCACATATGATTGTCATGATCTGGTTAGCAGCTTTTTATTTAACCAACAAAGAAGTTTACTGTTACATAATGCAAGATTAGTCGTTTAGTTATATTTGTTTTAATTTGCTTCTGTCGATTTATTTTGAATTTTGCAGTCGGAGACGAACGTTGATTTTACGAATATTCCAAAAGATTGCATAGATGAAAAGGAGAGTGGTGATGGGGAAAGCTTACAGAACAGCGATGCTGGCGCTAAAGTCAGCCACCGTTTCATGTTCAATATTGCGGATGGGGGTTTTACCGAACTCCATACTATATGGTTAAATGAGCAGCGCGCTTTGGTAAAAGACCGAGAAGCAGAAATTTGGCATCGTCGACATGATTATTGGCTTTTAGCTGGAGTAGTACAGCATGGGTATGGTAGGTGGCAGGTAAGCATGTGCTTGTATATGTATAGTCTGTGATAACGTACTCAATTACCTGCATCGTACCTGATGTGCAAACTCCAGCGTAGAAACTTACTTATTTAACGACGTAGAGTGGTCGAAAACAACGTTTATCTTAGTAATGGAAATTTCCGCTTGTTCATTATATTTGATAGATTTTTGTGTGTGACGAACTGCTTTTCCATTTGTTATTCCACTATCTGTAAAATGTCGAGTCATTTCCATCGTTGCCCTTTTTCAAGTAGAGTAACTGGTTGTACTCCAGGCAGCGCCGTCTTCACCTTTTCTAGGTGTTTTTATGTCTGTTTAATGCATGTTACCCATATAATTGAAATGTTACTTATTTTAACTTAGGATATACATAATGATCCTCATTTCGCTATTGTGAATGAACCATTTAAAAATGAAGCTCAGAAAGCGAATTACTTAGAAATTAAGAACCGCTTTTTGGCTCGTCGGTTCAAGCTGTTAGAACAAGCTCTGATAATTGAGGAGCAACTTCGTCGAGCAGCCCTACTGAATATTGCAGCAGACCAGTCTGAACACATACAGAGTCTAAACAGACGATTTACTGAGCTTGAGTGTTTGGCCACAGGACAGCTTCACTTGTTCAATGATGCCCTAGCTGGCAACAAGGCCTTAGTTCCATTATTACACAAAGGTAAGTCAGTCTTTTGACTCTTCGGGTGCCCATTTATTCATGTACTATCTTTGAGTTGCATTTTGGTGTAAAATGTAGGATGCATTAATCTAAGTTAAAGGTGACTCTATATTTGATTTATTTCAGTTTTGACCCTTATGGAGGACATCCTGGTCGATATGAAACAAGATGTCGCACGACTTGTTAACTTACTGCCCCGACTGCCTCCGGTCACTCAACGTCTACAACTCAGTCATACAGGTCTTCTAGGGAAGCTAACACAACAGCTCACTGCCAATAAAAATGTCCAACCGACATCAGGTCAAAAGCAAAATGAAGTTAAGGATGAAGGTGTGAATGTCGTGACACCTACTACAGAAAGCCAACAGCCTTCTTAGTATTACGATAAAGCTGTCCGTAAAAAACTTGTATATTCTTTCATTCCTCTCATCTATATAATATTTCAATGTTAAATTCGCATTGTTTATATTTGTAATACAACTAAATACGTAATTTTAAGCACTTTATTTTTAGGTTATAAATCAGCCAAAGACCAGGTCCATTTACAAATCTAAGCGAATAAAAAAACAAAAGATGCGAAGTATGTTTGTAGATATTATGTTATCAGAAGCTGCAGTAAATTTGAGATCGCAGCAGATCGAATAAGCAATATTTCGTGGAAACCCATATACTGAACATGAAGTTCGTCTCAATCTTCCATCTTATGCATTTTCGCAATGCGTTTGCGTAATTCGATCGGGAACAGGTCGTAACATGACTTGCATACTGGTTTGTAGTCAAATTCATAAAATTTAGTTCTATAAGTGAAGGAAATACAACTTAAGAATGCAAGTCAACAACATTGCAAAATGGGGACTCGAATATATTTTACAATGGCCTTTGTATACTGACATCTGATATAAGTAATCACGTACAAGATACATTTATTTTGTGTTACATGTTCAACACAGACCAAGTGATTTATGTGATACAGTAGTCACATTCTGTTTCATGCAGCATTTTGCTGCCTGCTACCAACAAAGACGAATATACTGTATGAAACCACTATCTTAATAGTTTAAGTTTCTTTATAGGTACAAGTTTCTGTGGCGGAATCGGAAGTGAGCTATGAATGACACTTTTGTGGTTGAACAACACTGCTTTTCCTATAGGTGGTTTGCTTCTCTGAATGGAAAGTACTTTTGCAGTAAAAACTGTTTAAATGATCGAAACCATTCACAGCGACACTAGTGTTGGCAGCACTGAGTAGAGGAAAGATGGAAATGAGAAGGGATGAACGATATAAAAGATATATATATATATATATATATATATATATATATATATATGGGATGTTATAACGTGAACGGTTGTAGCTGTAAACATTAGATGCATCATTATAAGACGGTGAAAGTATTTGCCTGACCTATTTTTGTTCAGAGAATATACTGTGGGGAAATAAATACCACTACGTGAACAAGAGATGAAATCACTGGGTAGGAGTTATTTTTAAAAGCTGTGGTTGTCATTAGTATACATAAATATGATAAAGACTGATAAAAGTAGAATGCACTCACTTTGGACTTAGTCGTCTATCGCATACGCTGCAACCAAAATGATCCACACACCATGCTTTGTTCAGTGCGTAAACAGTCTCTCCAGGAATAACTTGATTACAAGAATAGCAAAGCATTCCAAACAACAGTTGGTAATGTAATTCACAATAAGCCAAACCTTTCTTCTCATAATGACGAGACCCAGAAATGGCTTTTCACAACGAGCGCAAACGAAGTGTTCCACGTGCCACGTTTTTCCTAGAGCATGAACTACACGTTCTTCAATTGGCCGTCTGGAATATTGACATGGTTGAGGGAAGCAAAAAAGATAGAGTTTTGACATGTATCGATTGTTATATTCGCATAATTACACATGTATCGACTTAGGGATTAAGGCAATTTGTACGCTTAATACAGTTATTGGACACGTTTTTTCTCCTAGTTTTCCTGTTATTATCAACCTAGACAGTAAACCGCAAAACAAAATGCACTGAATCTGTTTATCCGAAATATATTTATCTATACTAGTAACCAATTCAAAGTAGTGTTGTGTTAATTCACAAGCAGCTAACTAACTTAAATTAGCCTTTATAAATTCGCTAAAATCGAACAAGTGTTAAGTAAATTTCAAAACAGAAAACAGTGAGGAAATCAGTACACAGAAGTGCCCTCCTGAATCAGGATATACGGTTAGACAAACAATAGTTCATCGTTATCGCCTGGTTAACTAGTTACTAGCCGGTCCTAAGCCCGGGTAAAGAGGGAAGGTTGGGCATACGGCTAGCAACCCTACCCCATAAAACAAATCTAACCGCTAAAGAAACTTCAAAGCACAAACAAAATATAAATAATACTAACAAAATTATTCCTCGCTGCAATCGGAGAGACGAAATGACGCCAGTTGGTGAAAACCTTCGGGAAGCCAATCGGCCGATGTGTCTACTCTCCCTTGATGAAAGCGTAAGTAAACGTGGGGACATGGAATGTCCGCACCATGTTTGAACCTAGCAAGGCAGCCCAGATTGCAAACGAGATGAAGAGGCATCACATTGAAGTGCTTGGAATTTGCGAAAGCAGATGGAATGGGAGTGGACTCTACAAACTGTCAACTGGAGAGTCAATAATCTACTCCATATTGTCACCCAGACGACAACCACGAGCACACTGAGTTATGGAGTGGCTATCATGATGTCCCCAACAGCATCGAAGGCTCTCATGCAGTGGGAACCAATCTCCTCCACAATCACGATCATGACAGCAAGGTTCAACTCAAAAGGAAGGAAGGAAGGTCACAATCATACAATGCTACGCTATGCACCTACAAATAATGCAGAGCAAGAGAAAAAGGAGAAGTTCTACAGACAACTGCAATCAACACTGGACAAGACTCCACTCCAATTGGCGATATCAAAATTCTAATGCGTGGGGCGACATGAATGCCAAACTGGGAGGGGACAACACAGGAAGAGAACTAACCATGGGTCGAGAAGTGCTCGGTGAGGTGATGAACGAGAATGGAGGATTGTTTGCAGAGTCCTGTGCATTCAATGATTTGGTGATTGGAGGCGATGCAGTGTGTTCAAGCACAAGGATATCCACAAAGCGAGCGACATGGATTTCACCAGACACCAGGACACACTAAAAATCAGATCGACTTTATCTCAATCTCAAGAAAGTGGAGATGGAGACGCAGTCTACTTGACACAAGGTCAAGAAGAGGAGCAGATGTAGGTTCACACCACTCACTATCTAGTGCAAGCAACCTACCTTCCAAATCAAGTTGAAAGCCTCCAAGGAAGCTGGTGATAGACCACAGATCAAGTGCAACACTCAGAAACTGAAGGACGAAACTACAAAGGAAATCTTCACGCCAGTCAGCAATCAAGACAAAATGGGAGATATCGAGCAACATCTCTGAAGAAGCCTGTGTGGAAGAACACTGGAACTCTTTGGAAGAGATGTGGAAAGAAACCTGCACAACCGTATTAGGAAGGAAGAAGAAAGAAGACAAAGAGTGGAATGGATCACGACGGACACATGGAAGCTGATAGAGCAGGGAGAGGAGGATGGTGAAGCAGAAGATAAACCAGTGCAAGGATGAACGACGAGAAAAGGAACTGAGTACAACGTGTACAAAACACTACACTGGACAAAGAAGTGAAGAAGAGTGCACGCAAAGACAAGAGACACTTCCACAACACACTGGCAAGTGAAGCAGAACAGGCTGCAGGTAGGAGAGATAGAGACCTGACAACATTGTATCAAATAACCAGGTTACTCGCTGTCTGGGAAGAGATCAACGCAGACGAAACCAATAAAAGGTGATGACGGAAATGTAATTACGAAAGAAGAGAAACAAAGGAAACGATGGGCCGACCACTTCAAGAAGCTCTTGAATCGACCATCACAACCACCTGCACTTCGTCCAGAAATACCACCTGCAGCCCAGCCACAGAACTACAAGTGAACATAAATCCTCCAACAAAAGCGGAAGTCCTGAGCGCCATTAAGCTACTGAAATGCGGGAAAGCAGCAGGACCGGATGGGATTCCGTCAGAAGCACTGAAAACAGACGCAGAGCCAATAGCGGCGGACATCCTCACACCACTAGTGCAGAAGGTGTGGAAGGAAGAGAAGGTACCTGGCCATTGATTGGAAGGGTTACCTTGTCAAACTCCCAAAGAAGGGAGACCTCAGTGTCTGCAAGAACTGGCGTGGGATCACGCTCCACTCCTGTCCACCCAAAGCGAGCACAATATTAAGCCGCATCATGCTGGAGAGACTAGAGGATGCGCTGGATTCAAAACTACGACCCGAACAGGCTGGCTGGCTGGCTGGATTCACGAAGTACAAATCATGTGCAGACCAAATTGCAACGCCACACTACGCATCATCATAGAACAGAGTATAGAATGGCAGTCAACTCTCTATATCACCCCAACTTTATCGACTTTGAGAAGGCCTTCAACAGCGTCGACCGAGAGGTATTTTGGAAACTGCTTCAATACTACGGAGTACCGCAAATCTTTATCAGCCTCATTCAACAACTATATGAAGACGCCACATGCCAGCCAAGTAATTCACAATGGGAAGCTCAGTGATGCTTTTGAAGTGAAGACAGGAGTGAAACAAGGTTGCCTACTATCACTCATGATATTCCTAATTGTGATGGACTGGATCATGCAACAAATAGTGAGGAGAGAGAAGAGAAGGACACGATGGACCACGGAAAAGAACCTAGAAGACTTGGATTTCGCCAATGACTTGTGTCTGACGTCGCACAAACTTGAAGATCTACAGGCGAAAACTAACAAGTTGACAGAAGAGGCAGGGCAGCGAAGGAAGACGGGACTTCAAGTGAACGTGGAGAAGACAGAGGTGATGAAGATACCCAACCACCACCAACAACAACAGCAAACTCCAATCACCATGAACGGAAGAAACTTAAAGGAAGTAGCCTCCTTCACCTATCTAGGAAGCACTGTTTCAACTACAGACGACGCAGGCACAGACGAGGATGTCAAAGTCAGAATCGGAAGAGCAAGCCAGGCCTTCCTGCATTAACCTGAAACCAGTGTTGAGATCTTCTGCACTCAGCATGTGGAACAACATCCGGATTTTCAACACCAACCCAGTCAAGTCAATGCTTCTGTATGGTTCAGAGACTTGGCGCGTCACGAAAGGGATTTCCAATAAACTACAGACATTCATCAACAACTGCCTACACTGGCTCGCTACTGAAGATCACATGGATTGCCAGAAAGAATAAGCAACAAGGAGCTCTGGCTGGTGACGAACCAACCAAGAACCTATCACCCAACAAATATGCACTAGGAAGTGGAGATGGATTGGGCATACACTGAAAAGGCCGACTGGGGATATCACGTGTCAGGCCCTCGAGTGGAACCCTGATGGGAAGCGACGAGTTGGGCATCCGAGGTGGTGACATGGAGGAGATCGTGCGAGGAGGAAATGAGAGCTTGTGGGCTGTCGTGGAGCCAGGTTCAAAAGATTTCAGAGAACAGAGTTTACTGGAGATGTGCTACTGAAGCCCTATGTCCCATTAGGAACCCAAGAGACTAATAATAGTAATAATAATAATAATAATAATAATAATAATAATAATAATAATAATAATAATAATAATAATAATAATAATAATAATAATAATAACAATAATAATAATAATAATAATAATAATAATAATCGTTCGCTTGTTGAATGGAAAACTTAGATGTTGGATATTTGTGAATATGCTTCGGGTACTTACTACATGGATGTACGACAGTGCATCTTTTGGATACAAAGTTGCAGAATTGTAGATACGAAAATATATCACACTAGGTAGAAGAAACGTATGTCACCCTATGCAAATCTAATATTTCAAAGTTGACGCTTATATTAGGAGACCCGAGAATAACGAGTTCGATATTACGACGAACAAAATCAGTAGTTGTTGATTACTGACCAGTGATGAAAGACCTATCCATTACATTCACTGTTTCTTCAAATGACACCATTTTTTGATGAGAAGATCGCAAAGCAATCAGATTCTTATTTTAATCTTAACGAATAGTTCATTTTAACTTCATAAATTCTTCTATTTTCAAGGATGTATTCATCACAGACTAGCATCATTTGAGAAACCAGTCGGGAGTAAAGCGGATACTAACTGAAGACCTTGGTGGACAGTTGCACTACATTGCAAATTGACGGGAGCAGGGAACTGTGGGCAACCGGATTCCGACTCAGTGGTGCACGGTTAGTGCGTTCGCCTTGAAACCTGATGGTCCTGGATTCGATCCATGGTAAGGTCGTGGGTGCGTACTGCTGGGGAGTCCCATGCCAAGACGAAAGTTTTTCAGTCCTCCCAGGTTTCCAATGGTTCCTTGAATGATGTCAGTCCATGATGAATACAACCTCAAAAATAAAATCCCTGTAAACCTTAAACTAGATTTTTCAATTGCTTCTATCTTAGGTTCGGCGAAATCGATTATCTTTGTTTTAACAACCACGTTTATGGTACGCTCCATGAGCTATCCCGGAAACATTGTTGCCTATACTAATTACGGTAGAAAAAAAAACAAAAGAATTCTGTCTCATTAACCTATCATTAGTATATGCTTTGATCCCGACTCATCTGAATGAAGTAATTAACTGCGCGAAGGCTGTTAAGCTATGTGCAATCGAATTCGAACTCATAACCCAAAAAATAGAAGTCTTAAAGTGACACCAGCATGTGGCCTTCATAATGGATTTGATATCACCTATCACTACAAAACCTAAGAATATTTCTTGTTCTGCAAAACATGACTTACCTGCAAGCACCACATATAGGAATTCCCATCTTGTCATGGCAACGAAGACAGTATAGGTCTCCATCCTTTTCCCTAGCATCAGAAGAAAGCTCCGAACCACAAGATGCACACGAGAAGTGATATGCATGATACACTTCAGAGCGATACTTCAACTGCTGTCCTTCTTCAACAACAGCTCGGCATTTGTGACAAATGATGTATGACAAACCAGATGCTTTCTCATGTTCATTACATGCGTGACAAACAGCTCTAATGTTGAAAATTAAAATATGAATCTACTTAAGATGAAAAAAATATCAATGAACTTCCAGCACTGTATACAAATCATTTAAAATTTCACCCATGTAAGGAGCACCAAAACGCTTAATATTAAAACGGTTTCCAATGTGCACTATTAACTGTGTAACTTTAGAAATAAATTTATGTACTCGATAATTTATCAAAAACGTCATGGATTTTCAAGATAGACATTCTACACTAAATAAAGAATTATTCCCTTTCATCTGTTCACATGAAAAGGTTAAATGCTACGTTAGTGTATGAAATACACAGAAATCCTTTTTAATATACCAACTAAATCAGCTGGGCGTTGAACACCTGAGAAAGCCTAGGTAACCTCTTTATTTGATTTCTTCACGGACACTTAGTTTGATAAGCTAAGAATGAATTCACATGAACCTCAAAGGCAATTTTATTTGTAGTGTGCTATATAACTCGATCGTCTGTGTTCAGACATCCATTTATTTCTGGCCAGCCGCACAAGCTTCAAATACAAAGTGGAACATTGTCTGACGTGGCATCCACCTACGTCAACACAGCAGGGACACATGTAGGCCATATTGTTATCAGTCATCCGTAGATTGCCACTCATTCTACAGCATAAGCGAACACGCGTCTATACGCAAGTGGACGACGATAAGTACAGTAACAAGACCACCACGAGCGCAGCTCAACGGTGAGAATACTGAAGCCATGTCAAGAAAGACCCCGGTTAGATAATTCTGGGGACAGAAAAACACCACTCATCCAAAAGATACTTGGCACCATCTTCAGTCGACTGCAAAAACAGCGTCAAAGATCGTAGCTGACTCAACGTAATGACCATGAACAGTGGTGTGCAGCGAAGGCTAAATAGAGATGGAGAAGGTAGTGGCAATAGGTAACAGTAGACGATAACTTAGGTTCACTAAGGAAATGGGTGAAAAAGTCAGTGGTTAGTGATACTATTACTGAAAAGGATGGGTCTACGATCCATTCGCAGGGGAGGCGATTGCAACGATGGGCGGAACAATTTATCTGGCCTTCAGCTACTATACCGTCATCTGTTATCCAGTTGCATCCCAAGTCGAACATCGAGATATAACTCCCAACACTTACAGGAGTCGAGGGAACAATCTGAAACAGGGAAGAGCAGCAAGGACAGGCAACCGGGTGGTCAAGGATTATTAGTGAAACTAACTGGAGTGTTTAATAGTGTACAAGACGCAGCTATCATTGCTTCTGGCTAATCTCAATTCCTGGTTGTCTCAGTCTTCAAGAAAGGTGAGATTTTCTTGTGATAACCACAGGGGAATGAACCCGACGAATGGTGTCTAAGATTCTAGGTTCTATAATCACTAGACAAATACATGGATTTTAGAAACAGCAGACCCCAGGAAACCAGACAGGCTTCAGACCTGGCTGAGGTTGTAACAACCAAATATTCACCCTCTGCTAGGTTATGGAGTACAGGCACACTTACCCACGCCTGACACTGGCTGCAATTCTCGATCTGAAGGCAGTATTTGACTTGTCAATCGAGAGGTTTCATGGCAGTCTTTCCCACTGAAAGGCGTGTCAAGTACGTACACAACCTTTTGGAAGTTCTGCACTCGAACACTCGTGAGCGTGTCACAACCTATGCTGAGTTATCAGGTAACTTGTCGACGCTGAGTAGTGTTCGTAAAGATGCACATTGTGTCCAATCTTTATCACAGACGTACTTACGGAAATCTCCCCCTCGTTGTCTGATTTCACAGGAGAACTGTTGGTAGGCCTAGAATACCTGGATGACATAATCCTATTACGTGAAGATGTTGTAAGAAGCAGTCTTCTGGACATGCTGGATATCGACCTGTGTTTCGGATGCATCTCTTACCATCCAAATCCAAACTGTTGCTTCAGGAGGGGTTTTCACTGGTGACCTGTCTAGCAACAGCGAGGGAAGTTGGATCAACCCTAGTGGGTCTGTCAGTGACCGGTTAAATCTCAGCACCCACAAAAGGCTCAGTTGGCTTTCATCAACTTACGCCATTCATCACGTCACCATGATACCACCCAATTTTATATTAAGGCTCGAGTGTACTGCACTGCAGTCTGTACTGTTCTACCGTAAGGCCATTAAACGTAGAGGATATGGGGTTTCAAGTGTTCGATCACCGTTGCCTTCGTAGCATAGACCTTGTGTCGTAGCGCCACTACATCAGGAATGTAGTCTAGTATAGAATTTCGGGCAGGAGAGATGCGTCAGTTGATAAGGTTGTAAACCGTCATCGGCTGGGACATGTGTTACGTATGCCTAGTTACTCTCGCAGTGTTAGCTGAAGTAGGTTCAGACTAGAGGTGGCCGGACTAAAACATGGCATCAATGCCTGAAGTATTTTACCATTAGTATGAGTCGTACAGAGGAATGTGAACTCCCCAATGGGGCTCCGCATGACAACAGAACCTAAGGTTTGGAGACTGTATATGAGATGGCTCAGAATCGATGTCAGTGATGTATCCACACATTACCATCATCTTAGTCGTCATACCGAATTCAGTTTTGTCTCATTCCTCTCTGTTCTCCTTAGACGACATCCTAATACTTTTGACTTTTCTCTTCCTTAATTCTTTATACTGCTTAGTGCATTCTCGCTTGATATACTGATATGAAGTGTGGTAAATGGGAAATTAATGCAGTTATGCCTGGTCTTGTGTTGATGATGATTATATTCTCACAAATGGAATATTGGGAAACCATGGGACTATATTTAGGGAGAACATAATTTTACCGGAGCAATTACTAGTATCAATACAGTTGCCAAAGGGAAGGGAATCACGAAAAATATGTGAAAATACTTGGTTTCTGGATGGCTTAAGACGTTTGATTAACCATTGGGCGATGTGCACCATCCGTAAGATCTGCAGTTCTGACTTCATTCATATAGGGCTAAATACCCTTAAAAATGCTCTGAATGGAAACAATCATCCTAAACGTTTCACTCTGAAAACTATAAGCCAAGACCAATCAAACTGAAAACAGTTCCCCAAAGTAGATCTTGAATCCACAGTTCACTGGAGGCTCATCGGTGGAGATATTACGAAATCGTTTATCCCGTTCGATGAGGACTTATTTTACAGCAAAACTCCGACTCACCTTCTCCATGCAATAAATTATTCGGTTATGCGTTAACGGTAAGCTGCTGCTGTTGGCCTCCTCAATGTGCATATATGCGCGATTGTCTAGCTTGAGAACGAGTCGACCAAAAGAGTAACTACTATGAGCAAGTGCATTCCTTACCACAATGCTATCGGCCAGAGATGTCTGTTGGTTACGGACACTTTTTATGCAGGAAAAAGTTAGGACTACAAAAGTGTTATCACTTTGATAGGAAAGTTGGGTAAACTGAGCACGCCATGCGGCATCCACAACTCAAATGTGGTGTCAACCATTGCAGACAGTATCAATAACATCAAACAGTACTGAGAAAAAGACAGAATTTAAGGAAACATAGCTGCGTTAGACAATAGTAATAACAGTAACAACGCTTGGTTCGAAATATTTGGAAGTCTTAACAGCGAGATGATAGCAACATGTGTAAACAGTGAAGATATGTCTTTGACGTGTGAAACTGAGGAGTTATTCTCAAAACAAAGGAAGTGTGAATACAAACAAGAAATACCGAAGAACACAACTGATAACACACAACTAAAAAATTCGTATAGTGGAGACAAAAGTCTAGTGGATTCTTTAGTTAGTGAGACCTCATCTGATATCGTATTCTAGGTAACTTAGGTGATGGATAGGCAACGCTAGCAGTCAGGTTATGCACTAGCTGGAATGGGAAAGTCAACTATCATTATTAAAACAGCTTAGTAAATCTGCGTGTAGTTTTTGATTGCATCATCAAAAATATCTGCTTAATAACTTCATGATATGATAGGATGGTATGGTCAGTAAAGTCCAACATGCACATTTATTCCGATATCCATCATAATATGCTACAAACCAGCAGTTGGGTGAAAATCACTGCTAAACCTGCAACGACATTTCAATGTACAGCCAGAACTATTACCTGGTGTGAATGACACAGATATTTTACATAAGTACTAAGGTTCGGTTGTGTCAAGCTGACGACACTTTATCTTCATGAAACGGTGAAGCAACTCCAACAATTCGTAATCTACGATAAAAATCATCGATAAACGTTTGCCTGACATCAAATCCACACATAGTTACTACACAGGTGAGAAACAAATTTCATAACTTAATAAAATATCGTTAACATGCCTAGGGAAGTTGACTCATTTCTACAACTGAACTTCAAAGGTATAAAGATTCTTTAACAAAAGCATAAACCCCTGAGGTAGAGCCAAAAAATAGTACACTGAGTGAGTCTTTGGCTGGAACGGATAAACAAAACTAGTTAATGTTGCCAAAAACACTAGCCAGTATAGACACTTCATATGTGAGAAACATAATTTACAAATTCTTTGCAGAGCCATCGCTTAACTAGGTACAGTAAGAGATTTTCGAAGATTCGGAATATGATTCTGCTACCATATGAAAGCGCTAGTTAAAATCTGGCAGAATCCAAAATTAAGATACTAGCAGTTCAAAGCAACCAAAAGCTTCACAAACCGAGTCAATAAGCTTCCACTGAACGCAGAGGCACTTTTTCGTCATCAAATTAGGATTGTTACTGTAAACTGCCGTAATAACTACATAAAATGAAATCAAATGCATTGGCCAAAGTATGTTCTGACCACTACTCCAACTAAGAAAATTCAGCTATTCAGACAAAACAGAAATTACCTTCCATGTAGTTTAACGAAGCCTTCGTCTGCAAGACACTTATCACAGATCTGACAGCGAAAGCAATCGGGATGCCAATTGAAATTCATTGCCTTAATGACCCTGCCAATTATGAAACAACCTAGTGGGCATGACATTTATGACTAGCAACCAACCACATTTTCCACAACAAGGTGCGAATAAAACGTGGAAATCATGTTCGCAATATTTTCGGCCATCAAACTGAGTTAAATTTAGAAGTTAACGGATAGAATTACTTCGTAATAAACACCGTCCGGAAAAGGTTGAAAGCACTGGGCGCAGCTAAAAAAAAATCAGAAATTCTCAATTTATCCTACACAAAACATTTCACGTGATAGTTGCTGTCTTTTGTCTGCACGACTTTTTCATTTAACTGAAAAGGGTCTCCACAACGAGTACAAGAAGACCCATATGAATCTAAATAACTACAGATTTATCAAATAATTCGAATGGGCCAGAACTTTTCTTCCGCAGTATTTAGTCCTGCCTGGTAGTCTGGTAGATTTTCTTGTGTCATGCCAACACTGTGACTCGCCTCTACAATAGCCATCTGGCTGGCAGGTTGATTACCGCGGCTAAATGTGACCTAGCAGGACCAGTATCCAAATAATTCAAAAAGCTTGTGACGGAATGGCAGAAGCTTTCACTTAACTGACCTCCGCATCTAGAATCCGTGGCTCACCATTTCTCGTGGCTGTTAACCTGTATAATACTGAAGGCAGAGCAAACCGTGACGGTTAAAATGTGAAAATTCAATTCAGTTCAATTCTTAACAGATCCCATCCACATCACAATTAAGTATCCAGCCGGCTTTTAAGGGATTCCTACGAAGTAGCCTGGATCACGTCTGCAGGAAAAATATCTCATGGTCTAACAACTCCTGGGGAATAGGAGCTTTATTTGATGTCTAACTTGCTATTTCCCGTGCTAAGTTTCCGTATATCTTCTAGGACTAGTGCTAAAATTCAGTAGGTGACGGGGTGGGTGTTTAAGATGTTGTGAGTTGTTGTCAAGTCTCCTCTTAGCCTTCAATACTACAGGGGATACAGATCCAGCGCAACCACCCATTCTCTATGTGTTTTAGACCTAGGTCCATGAACAGATTTTGTGAAGTCCTTTTGGATGCCTTCTAAGCTTAATTTTTCGTTCTACAGAGAAGGGGGAGGACTACAGTCCTAAACTCCAGGTGACACCATATGAAGCTGTCAAAAATCTGGTGAAGATACCCATGATCGAACAGTTCGAAAGTTCCTCTTAGAGTTACTAATGCCAAGTTTCCGTGAAATGCGTTTCGGCCGCAGTCGGCAAAAGGTTTTAAGTCTTGAGGGACTGAAACGTCCAACTCCTTCTCCGTCAGAGACGCCGTAGGTTTCATCCTGTTGACGCTATAGTCATGACATGCACCATGATTTACATGTAGCACCTTGCATTTTTCAGGATTAACTGCGATCCCATTATTGACTGACCAGTTTTGAAGTTAAATCTAAATTAGAGAAACACCGTTTTCTTCTCTTTTGACTTCTCTTCATGGTTTCATATCATCGACAAAAAGGAACTTTGGAAGAGGTTTTTCGAGGCAAGTCGCTTGTATATATATATATATATATATATATATATTTCAAAAAAGAAGTCCTAGTACTGAAAGTTATGGGACACCACTAGGACACAGAGAAACACGTTTTAACTCTGAATAAACGACCTCGTAGATATGAGGACAGTCAGTCGATGAGCAGTGGTCCTATCGGGATTAATCTTAATTTATAAGTGAGGCAGTCATGATAAACATGATCAAACGCCTTGGGAAGGTCTAGATAAATAATATCAGTTCTACTTCGACGGTCAGCACTGTTAGTCCATCTATATACCACAGTGAGCGGATTGGTAATTCAGGAGCGACCTTTCCTAAATCCATGTTGTTGTGGTTTGAAGAAGCCGATCTTCATAAGGTGATCCCTCAGTCCACCATAGACGAACGACTCCATTACTTTGGAAGGTGTGTATGAAAATGTCACCGGTCTGCATTTTTTCGGATTACTTCATTGACCTCTCTTGAAGGTTGGCGTTATGTGGTCCAACTTCATGGGATCCAGCATCCAACACTAATGGTGAGAGTATGGGAAACTTATGGTTTTTGAGTTCTCGCTTCTAGGTCTTGGGGTTCGGTTATACTCTCTCAGTGTTTGCAGAATTCTTTACGTTTTTTATAGCTTTGGGGATATTGACTGTCTATCTCGGGGTATTTTTCCTGCAAGTCGCAGCTTTGCGCTTTAGGGAGGGGTAACACGGCCGCTTATAAGATTAATCAGGCTTTTGCAATTCCTGTTTTTGCAAGCACCTGTAAGTAATGATCGTTGCTTCAGAAGTGCTAGAAATAGGGCCATTGGGGAATGAGTAAAAGACCAGTGAGAAGTGCTCATGGAATAGATGGGTCTGATTGTAGATGTTTGGGCTGGGCAATATGGGTGTGGATGAGCATACTTTCAGTTGCTACTGATGAATGTTCGTGGTGAGCCGTTTGCTCTTGCGTACTTATCCTGCAGCAGTTTGAGGGAGTCCACTGACGTGGGTTGTGGCAACCCTCTTCTCCAGGTTATTTCATTAGAAGGAGTTTGATCTCACTCTCGTATCTACCCCATGACGGGGTATGTGAGTGGGGTTCTTGCGATACTGCCGGTTTCAGACCGATGATGTTGATCTATTTTGGTGGTCCACCCGGCAAATGATCTTTTGGGCCATCATTAGATCACTTTTTTTCCCTCAATAGCTGAAAGTAAAGTGAGTTGCCTAAGGCGTCGCGCATATGTTTTCCCTGTTGGTCAGACAACCGACCTAGTCGCTATTCTCTACGCCTTCCCTAGAGTATTCGCGTCAATCTTATGTGAAGGTGAGGCCATCATGTTGAATATCTCCATGTGTGGTCTAACACAGGTTCTACATGCCATGAAGAATAACTCTGGGATTAGCCCCCCAAGCTGCCTTCTTAGAAAGTGAGTGATGGCGTTCACCTTTTCTATCAATCCCCTACGGTGGACACTAGTTTTCCGTATCACAGAAGTTTAGTCTTAGGCCCCTCATTGTGGATACCCCAATGACCGTGCTCTTTTCAAGGGATCAACTGGTTTTCATCGCTTCTGGTGGGTGGTTGAAGCTGAAACCATTCGCAGCTGACCAGGACTATAGCTGCAACAGATGATCTTGGGGTATCCTATTATCCTCTTTCCCACCTTTTGTCCTCATTAGTTTGGTGTCACCAGCAAATAAGAGGATCGATAGGATTTTAGCGGAGGGTTAATGATGAGTAATGGAAACAGAAGCGACCCGAGGATCGCTCTTAAAGAAGCTCGCCTTCTTGCATCCCTCTAGGCTGATTGAGTTCTGTTCACTTTGGAACGAAATTCCCTATCCCCCAAATATGCCGTAAACCATGCCCAGAGCGGTCCAGCGATGCTGACGTTTGCAAGGTGGCAAGCATGGTGTAGTGTGGGACGCTGTCAAAAGCTTTGGTGGAGTCCAGAAAGGTGATGCGGACTGGTTTTTCGTCGCCCCATCTAGTGATCTGGTCATCAAGTTTGCGGCTTATGACCGTCCGGTTCAGAAGCTATGTGTGCAACCGATAATATTCCTTCCTTTTTCTCTTTACTTGGCTTTGGAGTTCGCGAGTTGCCCAAGACCGTTTGAGAGGCGGTAGTCTGACTAATTCCGGAACACGTTTGGATTGCACTCCATGTATCTTTAATATGTATCCCGCACTCGCCTATCGATAGTAAGCGGCATTCTTGCGGATATAGGACCTGAAGGAGTTCATTGTTCATGAGATGGTAGCCCGCCTTTCGGAAACAGCGGAGCGCCTCTGGTTCGACTAATGGTAGTTTCCCCTTGTCTATCAAGTAAAATCTCACCAATGCGTGACTGTCTCTGCCCAGGGGTATCGGATACAGATGTCGTGGCTAGAACGCGATGAAGTTGTGATCCTTTTCCATTTGGCCCCAAACTGATGGTTTCCCCAACGTTTTCCAATAGTACTGCTGCCATAAGCATGTTTCAGAGTCTATGTTCGAAAGATTTATGTCCACAGCTGACCTCACATCCCGGTAAAGTGCCGGCATGGTGAAGCCTCCAGCGAGGACTACATGATCATAGGCTGCCCAGGTGCATGTAGAAATTGTGGTGAGCAATTGTGTCTTATACTCTGTTGTGCACCACATAGGCCTGTATACCACTCCTAGTGGGCACCTTGTTTGTTTATGATCAAACATCACTATGAAGAGTCCGGCGATTGGCTAACCACATCATCGGCCGCCTCCCTAACTTTTAGGAGAGTATCAGTGTGTGTGGCCACTTTTACACCTCCCCTCAACTGCCTGCATGTCAAGAAGCCACATTCCGGGCTAAGGGTGGTGCAGGGACTTGTGTAGGGGTCAGTGTGCCATTGCATCAAATTATGACAGTCAGTCCCCACCGCACTCGCAAACCCCCAGTTTTGGGTCCATTCTAGTGTCCTGGTGGTGGTATGATGGCAGTGTTCATCATTATGCCTATATGCATTAGTGCACTAGATAGTTCTTTTGTAACTAGCACTGCTTGTAGCGTTCTTGAAGGTTGCCTTCCACCTTCCAGTCTGGAAAATGGTTTTAATTTTGCAGTGATATATCACCTCCTATTTGGTGTCTCCCGCGGAGTTAACGTGTAAAGCTAGCAACCTCAGTGAAGAGATGCTGTACAGATGAGTAGGTCTTGTTAATCTGCCTACGTTGCCGGCAGGAGCATTTAGTTGTGCCATTTTTGACGCCAGCTGTCTCTACTGTTCAGCGTTATAGAAGTAATGACTACATTTCGTCGGTTCATCCATCAATTCATGTACTTCACGCACCATCATGGTTTCAGCCCTGTCACTAGCCGCGAACTTTCTGTCCGCCTCTCTGGCGACCAGCGGTTTATCTGGTTTCAACCTTATGACATGAAAGCCTTCGACGTCTGGGTGTCGACACAGCATTAGTGTCCCTCGACCACTTCGCTGCCGTCTGCGACATCCTGAGAGGTGGTAGCTTAACTTGAGGTGCTCTATCCCCTAGGGGGAGGTACACTGGCTATTGTCTATCCTTGTGTCAGGTTCCAAAAATATCTGGTTTCCCCTTGCGTGGAGTCGGCGGGAGATCTGTTACCACCTGTTTGGATAGGGAATTTCAGCCGTTGACAACTCTACGAGAGAGGCGTAAACTTACACTAAGTCGATCCGACAGTAGTTTTGCAATTTTTTCACGGCTGCCTCCATGATCTTCAATGCTTGAGGTGGGGAAGAATTGGACGTCAATCCTATGGTCGTTGTTCATTACCCACTATCGCTTTAAGAGCCATTGTAAGGAAACCGGTTTCCTCGCACACAAATTGACACCAATAATTATTGGACTGCTCCCACTCTTTCTCAAATTCTGGACCATCTTCAAGATTAACTCACCTACTGGTCATGAGTTTCTTGCAACCAACCGTCTGACCATTCCCAGCAGTATTAGTAGCAGAAACATTCTGAACAGATGACTAAACCAGAGACCAATTTACATATCGGCTAAGGACGTCACTTACCTG